CCATACTTGAAGAATATAAAATTTCTAATAATAATAACTCTACACGTTTAAAAGCTGAAACTTTGCAAATAAAAAAAAATGATATGTTGTAATTCAGAAATTTTGAACGGGACAATCTATTCTGTACTATAGTTATAATGGCCGAAATGTTATGTGATAAAAACACAAATCCGAGTCAGTGTCTCATTTGAACCGCATTATTATCGGTGGCCAAACATAGGAATGTTTGTGCATTATAGATAGGTAATAGCTTTCCTAATTATATAATTGACAAATAAAACGTTTACAGTAAAAAAAAAATAAACAAAAAAACAAATATAAAACAACACATCAGATTAATAACATATAGTAGCAATTAAAACAATAAATGCACTAAAACTGTAAAGTAGATGAAGCAGCTATAATTAAACTTATTTCATACAAATACAAATTAGCAGTTGAACGTGATAAATATATAAGATCCGTAATCTACTAGTTTGGTACTTGTCACTTTGCTGACAGCAAGTAAATTTCAAATCAAAATTGTTTTTCCATTTAAAATACTACATTTATGAGAAAATATGTTCAGTTTAAATGCATTCATAAAAATAACTTCAAAGTAGGGACTTCCAAAAAAAGCGACACCTAAGCTTTAAAATGAATTTTTAAAAATAAAAAATCTTTGTTGAAGTTTTTATTTTAGTCTTAACTGCAAGTTAATAGATTACACGTAACATTTATTTCAAGCCAAATTTCAATTGATTCGAATTATTTTTCCTCTGAACTCGCTAAAATCGGCCTACTGACAAATCTGCCAACTCAGTATAATACTCTTTATTAAAAAAAAATCTTTCAAAAATAAAATATACTTTTCTGAAACTTTACTTGATGAAGATTTGAAATCTGAATGTCGTGCCCTCAAATACAACATAACGCGAAGAAATGTCTTTGTACATAGGCGAAAGGAAAACCAGATTGAAATAATCATATCTTTATTTAAACATTTTGTTTGTTCTGGTCGTAAAAAAAGTTCAAATGTTCGACAAAATTTTCCATTTGGGTAGCACGTGAAAGCATATGACTTGGTCAATATAAAGCACATTTAATGGAGTGACTGTGTGTGTGTGTGTGTGTGTGTGTGTGTGTGTAGCACATTATTAGAAACGTTGTGGTGAGTGCTAATACGTGAAATCTGATTACGGTTCTTCCAAAAGGAAATAAACATACAGATAGTTTATCAGACTTACTTTTTTTTCCACGGATATGAATATTTCTTTAAGTTGTGTGACTATTCCTTTGAATGGCGTGTAGCCGTCACTGAATGAGGTATTGTCATGGTAACGAGAGAATTCTGGTCGGGTGTTTGCAAATCCAACCGCCTGTCATCAACGGGTGATTCACGTCCAGCTGCTGACTTGGTTTTTGCTCTGTGTGTTTTTATTGCTCCCGAAATCGATGTATATAGTTAACCTGATCACACGATTGGCTCCAAACGAAAGCTTTTCGATTTAGGCGCTATAACACCCAGCAACCAGTTCATTTGGAGTTCAAACGTACGGACGTAGTCAGAAACACAGCACGTGAATGTACTGTTCAATCAAATTACAGAAACCACTTATTTAATTTTAGATCCTATTTTTTTCACTGTACAAAAGTTTTTGTTTGAGCGATTCTGATCATATTTATATGTGGGCATTTTTTACTTATTTGTGTTTCACTTTTAGTTGTAAAATATAGGATTTCGTATCCTATAACAGAAACAGAGTCAAATAATTATTGAGATAGTAAATCTCCCTCACTGTAGGTAAGAAAAAAGGAAAGCTGATCGTTTTTTAATTTAAAAAATACTGTCATGCTACACATGTAAGCAAAGAGACAATTTGATGGACATGAAGCTGTTGATAGGTTTTTCTTTTCTTTAATTTTTTTGTCTTCAAATTTATGATTTTATTGCTGTGTATAATTCATGAATAGGAATAAACTTATTCATCTAATATTAATTGAAAAAACTACTTCATATTCTAGAAACTTTAACCATAAAAATTAACCCACCACACACACACACACACACACGCACACACACACACACACACACACACACAAAACCAAAAAACTCTAAAGATCTTCAACATTGGAAGAGTAGTTTTAAAATGTATTCAACAACTGCTGATGCATTTTTTTAACCTAGTAAACAATCTCGCTTGCAAGTCGCCTCGTGGGTGATGCCAGTATAACGCAATATAACAGTCAATATCGAGATTAAAACTATTTGAGTAAGTGAGAGTCAGAAAGATCTACAGACCCCACATCTTGATAAAAAGTTACAGTATGGTTAAAAAAAGTGATCAGTCACAAACATTTGGACAATATTTACATAATCGACCTAAATGAACATTCTCTTGGACATGAAAATGTTAAAAGTTCTTTGTCATTTTGTTTCACAAAATAAATAAATAAAATTGTTGATCACTGTATCTCTGGAAGAAAACGGTTTTAAGGCAAATAGTAAACCAAACTCCCTGACGATTATGTACCATATACGTGAGAATACAAGTAGGAACAGATTTGTTTGTTGTTATCTATGCTCTGATATAGTGGACTTTGAAGACTTGGTATTGTTGAGCACTATTTTGTTTTTTAGTATTATGTTAAGACCTTACTGTTTCCGATGCTATTGATAACTTTCTAGGCATGCTTTTGATTTTGTTTTCTGGTATTTGTGTATTTTCCCCCCTAAGTAACGGTAATTTTTTGGCATTTCTATCTTGGCCTTATGCGCAGCCCCCCCCCCCCCAACCTTCGGTGAGTTTGGTAGGTGTGTGCATTGCATGTACACATCAACTAACCTTGTTGTAACATCTTGAACTTCCTGAGGGAGCATAAAATGCTCATTTTCAGAAATAACAGTTGCCGATTACCTGATGATTGCATGAAAACGCATGAGGAGCAACTCGGTTCACAAACAAACAAAAAATGTCTCTGCTGACGAACGGTGTCTTGAATGACGAATGTTCTGTTATGTGCCATGCGTGAAACACGCTTAGGCGACTATGTATCTTTCGATACATGACTGACGAGGTAGATTCTTTCCTGCGGTAGGTTGCCATTTCTTTCTGTGATGGACGAGTTGCCATCCAAGGCTACAGAACCCCGTGTATGCTGCTATTTACCCATAGCTAGGGGAGAAGAAGAGGATTCATACCTTTCCCAAGGGTATTAGCACGTAAGTGAATGTAATGGATTCGACTGGAATTCGAACTCGGCTCTCCGATTCCTCAACCCGTGCCTCCTGAATGACGAATAAATACGCAAGCCAATGACAATATGGATGCAAGCAGGGAGTATCGGGGAAAGAAAGTCAGTTGCAGTGCAGCTTTCACGCCATACACATCCCTGCTCTCTTGAATTACATTGTGTTCTGTTTTTATAAATTATTAATTAAGGCAATTTATTATTAGATAAACATTCTAAAACGTAGAGGAAAACAAATGTCATTGAACAAACTTTTAATGAGACAGAGGCTTAGTGAGTCTCAAGCAGAGTTTGAGTGTTACTAAGAGACAGAAAAGAAAAAGAGAAAGAATCTCAGAAAGACAGTTACTTAATGCTTTTAAACAATAACATCTCTCATTCTCCTTTCTCACCACCTTTCACGCCATCTTCTCTCCACCGTACATGTACGGTAAAATTAAATTTTAATCTATATTTTATGTTTAGTCTTTTTTTTGTGTGTGTGTTAGATTTAGTCCTCCCAGCATTTCAGTCCTCCCAGCATTTCAGTGGTTTCTTGGCCAAGAACTCATTAAGGTAGTTGTTTATGGGATCCAAAGAATTAAAATTTTTACCATGAGATTATTTTGCAAGGAACTGAATAAGTGAACATCCGAAATACCCAAGCTTCACTAAATGCTCATGGATGGTGGATTTTGATAAATTTAGTCAAATGTTTCTGCCAATTCCCGCGTTGTTTAATTCGGGTTATTCTCAATCAATGTCTTCATTTGGTCGTCATCTGTAGTAGGGGATGGCTCTGCCTAAGCGTTCTTCATCAATAAGGCTACAATTACCAACTCTAAACTCAGCGAACTACTTCCGTACATTTCTATTAGCGAAAGCACCTTCACCGTACACAGCATACATCTTTTTTATTGATTGCGAGGCATTTTTACCTTTACAGTAAAAAAGCATTAAGTGTTTAAAATGCATCTTCCATTTTTATAGGCATGCAAAATTGATATGAATTAAGTAATTTTAAACTTTCTTTCCCAAGTGATAGTTTGAAGTGAGCTCTAATCGGAAATGTAAGCATTTTATCTGTTGATAAATTTGACGTGTTGGAAAATGAACAACTAAAAAGCGGCATGAATTTTCCGGACAACTTAATATATATGTTTATTTAGGCAGCATATCTTCACTCAAGCATGTTTCATTAAATAATATAGACATATTATGTCTATTTTTATAATAATTCTTTCTAGTTCTATAATTATTTTCTTGATGTTAAGTTGAAATTCATCAAGGAAGGCGTCATATTTTTTGCTAACCCAAGTACTTTCGATCTCCTCTGAGATCATCCTCATGGGTGAATTGCAAAGACAAACATAATGTAGCTGTAATCGTTGTGATGGGAATTTCTGTAAACACACGTGAACGTACTCTGTTATAATTATTTCAAAATTAAGCGTTGTGGTTATGATGTTTTGTAAACAAGCATGCACAATGCAATGGAGATAACTATCACAAGAGATGGATAAAATGCAACATGGTGTTAAATGTTAGTCAACTCAAATGCATTTTAAAACATTGTTACTACACCCATAATAAATTTTGTTCAGTGTTGGTTGATTTTGATATATATATATATATATATATATATATATATATATATGATATGTGTGAAAGAGATTTTCAAGCCTAATTAATTATAAGATCATTTGTTCTGGTGATTCTTGAGCATGACTTTCTTTCAAAGTTATCATTATTATTTTTTATCTTTAACTAGATTATGAACACAAAGCAATATGAATTCCTTGTCAATTACTGATTCTTTATCAGTTTCGGATCTCCTTGATAATGTAACCAACACAGAAGAAAACGAAACATTATCAGGATCTTTTATCAGCCCTATCTCTGAGCCACATTCTGCTGATTCAAAATGCCTGGCAATTTTCTTCTCTATCCTCATGATTCTTGTCACAACAACCACATTTGTTGGACTGGGAACATATGCGTTGTTCTTCTGCAAACCATTTCCTTGGATTGATGAATCCTTGGATGCTTTTAGTATCCCAAAACACAAAGTTTCACTCAATATTGATGCTTTGTTTCTTGCTGAAAAAGACACATCTAAACCTCAAAAGACCAAACGCAGTATTCCTGAATGGAGTAGAAAAGAAAAGGATAATTTCATCTATACTCTCTTTGACCACCATGAACTCTATAATTATCTGCAGAAACGGTCAAAGGATTTCCAGGAAGTGCACTACCAACGAATTCCAAGATGGAAAATGCAAGTAGTTTACATTGCAAAGGGAGATGACAGGGCAAACATCTTCACTCCAGAAAGACTTGAGCATATTCATTCAGTTGAGCTGAATATCATGTCACACCCAGAATTTCAGAAATTCTGTCTCAAGGAAAAAGTGTACACAGATGAACGTATGAAAACATATGGTGGATGTCTACCTCTTAATTCTCTTCTATCTTATTTTTTCCCTTCAATGAATGAAGATGGACATATATTTTATGATGGACTTGGTGCAAATATTGATAAGGTTGACAGTGCAATTCGGCTTGCAATGAACAGCGACACATTTTATTACTTCGTTGATGATAAAATCAACAACACTTATTTGCAGAGTAGCTTTTTGCGGTCAGAAGTTTTGTTTGGTGCACCACTGCAAGGTAAACAAAAAGTTGATTTAACACCTTCACTTTCTTTTTATACAATTCTATATACAGTGGGGAAAATAAGCATTTCATCCCCCCACCTGCTGAGTTTGTCACCTTACAAAAATAGGAACAGTCTATAATTTTCAGGGTAGGTCTATCTTGAAAGTGAGAGATAGAATATAAAAAAAATTCAAGAAAATCACCTTATATTAATTTTTGAACATTTATTTCTTTTATATTGAAAAAATAAGTATTTCACCCCATAGCAAAACATAACTCAGTATTTGGTGAAGAAACCCCTGTTGGCAAGCACAGCATCCAGACGTTTTCTGTAGTTGGTTACCAAGTTTTTACAGATCCTGGGGGTGGGGGGGATTTTGGCCTCTCACTCCTCTTTGCAGATCCTCTCCAAATCCTTAAGGTTTGTAGGCTGTCATTGAGCAACTCGAAGCTTCAGCTCCCTCCACAGATTCTCTAAAGGATGAAGGTCCATAGACTGACTAGGCCACTCCATTACCTTAATGTGCTTCTTCTTGAGCCACTCCTTTGTTGCCTTAGCTTTGGGTCATTGTCAGGCTGAAACATCCATCCATGATCCATCTTCAGTGTCCTGGTTGAGGCAAGGAGGTTTTCATTCAAGATTTCCCTGTACTTGGCTCCATCCATCTTTCCCTCGACCCAGTGTAGTCATCCTGTCCCCTTAGTAGAGAAACAGCCCCAAAGCATAATGCTTTCACTAGTATGTTTAATGGTTGGGATGGTGTTCTTGGGGGCCAAGTCAGCTTTTTTTTCCCTCCAAACATGGTGAGTCTAGTTGATCCAAAAAGGTCAATTTTAGTCTTGTCTGACCACAGCACTTTCTCCCGACCTTCCTCTGAATCATCCAGGTGCTCATTTGCAAACATCTGACAGGTCTGTACATATGCCTTCTTGAGTAGGGGGACCTTGATTTCAATTCACTACAACGTAGTGTGTTACTGATGGTCATCTTGGTGACTCTGGTCCCAGCTGCCTTGAGATCATCAACAAGCTCTTGCCACGTAGTTCTGGGTTGTTTCTTCACCTTTCTCATCATCAGGTTCACTCCACATTGGGAGATCTTGCGTGGAGCTCCAGAGCAATGGAGATTGATAGTCAGTTCGTGTTTCTTCCATTTTCTTATTATTGCACCAACAGTTGACTCTTTCTCACCTAGCTGCTTGCCAATCATCTTGTAGCCCATTCCAGTCTTGTACAGGTATACAATTTTGTCCCAGATGTCCTTCAACAATTCTTTCATCTTGCCCATTGTGGAGAGTTCAGATTCTGATTCACTGAAGGATTCTGTTAACTAGTGCCTTTTATACAGGTAATGAGTACTTGATTAGGAGTAATAGGACTAGTTTATATGCCTCCTGGTCACATAATCAGTCTGTGGGGCTTGAATCATTGCTGTTTGGTAGGGGGTGAAATATTTATTTTTACAATAAAAAAGAAATAAATCTTCAAAAATTAATATAATGTGATTTTCTAGAAATTTTTATATGCTATCTCTCACTTTCAAGACAGATCTACCCTCAAAATTATAGGCTGTTCCCATTTTTGTAAGGTGGCAAACTCAGAAAATCAGAAAGGGATGAAATACTTATTTTCCCCATTGTAGCTATTGTGCCCACATACTAGCATGAAATATAGTTAAGACATTCAGTTAGAAGAACTGAATTCTTATAATTATCCTTGTAATGTTATTTTGTAAAGACTAATAAGAATACAAGACTAAATATTTCATATTACTGTTTATTCACTTCTGAACTCTGTCAATTAATGCTGGATTTAGAGGTGTGTAGTTTTTTGTGGGGACTTTCTTCAAACGTTGATCTTCTTATGAAAATGAGAGAGTTTTCATTTTTCCTCTAGGGTGGAGTATTTATATAACTTCCTGTCATCTGTTTGTCTCACATGTGCAATATTATATATATATATATATATATATATATATATATATATATATATATATATATATATATATATATATATATATATATATATATATATATACATATAAATACATATGAGCCAGACAAATATATACCTAGGTTTCACCTAATATATATACGGATCATCAAACAAACCTGGATCATATATATATATATATATATATATATATATATATATATATATATATATATATATATATATATATATATATATATATATATATATATATATATATATATATATATATATATATATATATATATATATATATATATATATATATATATATATATATATATATATATATATATATATATATATATATATATATATATATATATATATATATATATATATATATATATATATATATATATATATATATATATATATATATATATATATATATATATACACAAATTTTTCTGTTTTCTATGCATATTTAGTTATATGCATCTTTTGTACAGTTAAATATATATATGTTTATTCATTAGTTCGAAATATAATAAATTAAAAATTTGTATGTGCATGAATATTTGTTTTATGCATCTCTGTGTGTGTGTGTGAGTATATATATATATATATATATATATATATATATATATATATATATATATATTATAATTGCTTCTTTTAAAATATATAATCATTGCAACACCAAAATTCCTAGCCCTGTTGGCTGGGGCTGTAGAATATGCCGACTGCACCTCTGCTGAAGGGTAAGACCCTCCCTCCCAATGGGGTGTCCTGGGTATGACGATAAACTACATCTGGGTCCAGGGTAAGACGATAAACTATGTCCAACAGCAAAGCCTCTGATCAGGAAGCTTTGAGGAGCATGGAACCACCTCTTAATTGATGGTGTTCCCAGGTCCACCCTTACTCAGGGTGGTAGCATTTGTTAGGGTCCCAGCTATGGGCAATAGTTAACCCAGAAACTGAGGTAAAAGGCATTATAAAAATGTAAAAATAGGTTTTAATACCAGAAATACTTTTTTTTGAAGAAAAAAAAATTTTACCAGTAATATCTTTTGGAAAAAACTATTACCAGCAATACGTTTTTGAAAAAATAATATTACCAGCTATACATTTTTTGAAAAATATAATATTACTAGCTATACATTTTTTGAAAAAAATAATATTACCAGCTATACATTTTTGAAAAAAAATAATATTACCAGCTATACATTTTTGAAAAAATAATATTACCAGCTATACCTTTTTGAGGAAAAAAATATTAACAGAAAAACCCTATGCGAGTACCCAAAACAACTAAATAAAGTGCTCAATACAATGAGTAGAGCAGACCTAGAGAGCCAGACTAACCTACCAAGGTTTCACCTAAGCAGATCGTCAGGGATATATATATATATATATATATTGTGTGTGTTTTATATCAGTATTATAATAAAACAAAGAAAATAGCATATTAAAAGATTTTATTAATTGTTCTGATAGGGGATGATATATTCATTAAAACTTTTTTCTTTTTATTATTCTATTAGAAATATAAATAAAAGAAAATAAGTGGTGGTTGATATAAAATATGGTCTTGTGTACATTTTATTATTAATTTGTAGCAATAATATATTGCTTAAATGAAACTTATTGTTACAACCTTAATTTAATAAGAATGATATCTTGAGTAATTTTGTTTTTGTTAAAAATAAAATTTGATCAGTAATATTTGAATGTTTTTCTTTCCAGATAATAATTGTTATTTGTAATATTTAATCTAAATTGAGTAGTAAAAAATAAATTCAAATAAAAGTAACAGAATATTTTCTGTCCTACCCAAATCCTTTGTAGATTTCTTTAAGGCCTAAACAATTACTTCTACTTAAGGCATATATTCAAACTGTGTCTTTCTTTTGTTTTGTTTTTTTTTTGGTCTTATTTTTATTGTTTGCTTTCAGGTTATCACAGTTGGCAGGACCGGACATTAGAGCAAACAGAGAAATTTAAGAAGTTTATTGTCACATATATAAGTTTGCTTTCAGCTTCATCAAATGAGTAAGTTGGTTAAAATAAAAATGCTAATAATCAATTGTTGTTAAGAAATTTCATGAGGCTGTAAGATGTATATTTTTTAACTATACTTTTCATACTTTATTTATTCATATTTATTGCAATTTTGTGTCTGTTTAATGAAAGTTATTTTTAAGCTCAAAATTTAATATGCATATTCTACTTTCATTTAGTAAAGTACAGGTACTTTATGGAGGAAATGAACTATTTGACTATGAAGTTGACCACACATTTTGGAGTGACATGAAGTTGGTTTGGGTCAGCATCTTCTGTATTGTCCTGTTCATATTAATATTGACCTACTCTTTGTGGTTTACGATTGTTGGACTTCTCAGCATCCTTATTTCCTTTCCATTGGCTTTTTTCTTCTACCGAGTTGTCTTTGGCAAAAAGGCTGTTGGTATCCTGACAGGCGCTTCAGTATTCCTCTTGATTGGAATTGGTAAATCACTTCTTATATCTGTCTTGTTATATATCAACATGCATAATGAATTGAAATATATATATATATATATATATATATATATATACAACAAAAACGACATTGAATTAAATTCTTAATTAGCCACACATGCACCACACTCTCTTGTAACTCAACTTGTCACTTGTTGAAACTTAGGATAATTCATCTACATATCAATTATCACATCACAAACAAATGAAATACAACTAGTAATAACATAATACAAATATTAGTAGATAATACCAAAATACTATACAGAACCCACTGTAAAGAAAGACTTGAAATATTTGAAGTTATTATACACAAGTAACAAGCCATATTAAATTTTCGCTACATGAGATTGTATTTTAAAATATTTAAAATGCATACAAAATAATTATACTTCATATAAATATATAAGATACTCTTTTTCTGATGTTGCCAAACTCTGTGAAACTGTTCTGCATATGACGTCACCTATACAATACACTTTACTTAAATTTGAAATGTAATGTTTCAAGAAATAGCACAAATATAGCAAACAAGATACTGACATTTACATTCTAATAATGACCGAGATGGTCAAAATTCTCAAGCTAAATTGAAACAAAAATATGAATTTTGGAAAGTTTATCCACAATTTTGAACTGGATGTATCACAACTTATTAGAAAATTCAAAAAATACGATAAAAATTAAGCAGACAGACATCGTTTGTTAAATAAAGAGGTGCAGAAATGTTCTCCACCTGTTCAAGAAGTTGTTTAAAACATAATACTTGGTAATTTTGTCATATTTAGGGAATTGTGTCTGTCTGAGAACTTTCAGCACCTCTTTGGGTGTGTAGCAATTTACTAAGGATATCTTAGATGTGGCACAAGGCTGAAAGTATAGAGAACCCTTTAAGAACTCACTACTCAGTCACTACTCAGTCATAATTGATCTAGGGAGACAAGCTTGCCAACCATTATATCACATTGAAGCGGGTATATGTGTGTGTAGAGACAGAGAGATGAATATATGACCCTGGCATCCTAGTCTAGTCCATAAACTTGTAAGTTGTAACTTTTCTAAAAAGTAATTATCTGGCAACTCAATGTTAAAGATTCAAAAAATTCAGATGATACCAAATATATACTCATCCTAGACCCCCCCCCCCCACTAATGAAAAGTATCTCTAATGGCTGGACACTACTCCATTTTATGTTCACATTTTGAATATAATCCTGAAGTAGCCAAAATTTATATTTCATATTACTATAAATGTTATTTTAATAGGTATATGTGTTTCAGTTGACATCCCTTTTAAAAATATTTTTTTTTTAATTTCACTGTTTAAAAAAAATAAAAAGACAAAGATGTCATCTCAGACACGTGTGCACCAAAATGTTGATAATAATAAAAAAATAATGTCAAATTGAAAAATACAATTGATATATATATATATATATATATATATATATATATATATATATATATATATATATATATATATATGAAAAGTGTGTGTATGTAAATATAAATATATGTAATATATTATATATATTATTATTTATATATTATATGCGCGGTACTTATTACAAAGCGCTCAATATCAGAGATAGAGCTAACATATTTGGTTGGATTAATGTGAGTTTGTGACCCTGGGTTTTATGCTTTTGTGATCGTCAGACAAACTGATTAATTTTTTAAAAATTTTGGATTTATGTAGATTGTGTGTATTGGTGTTATTATGGAAGTGGGGGGAAATTGTCATTGTGATGTCACTCATGCTAACGCAAACATAGATGCATATCCGTGCACCCGATGAGGTACACGGACACACATACACACATGCTTGCCCGCCAGGACTAATACAAACATAAACATATGTGGACAGTATGGGACTTAACATATGTAATGAGAATAAATAACTATTATCAGAATTTATACCAAACGGATAAAAAAAAACAACCACAACAACCACTCTTTAGTTCAAGCTACCATCACAATAATTAGATTATTTGTTATTATCATTCCACCACCATTACTAATCACTTCTACCACTTAACAATAACTATTAGCTACTAATATTATCATTACCACCAATCCCCCAACACCATTACTACCACATCACATCTACTATTACCATATCAATCCACTATAATTATTGACGTAAATTACTATCCCCTCCACCCAGCATATTTAATACCACCAAATAAAAACCAATAAGGATTACAAACTGCAATTTCTACCAGTTACATATACACAGTCATCAACAACAAGCAAATAACCAGCTTTAAAATAATAACAAATCAGCCTTAAAAAATTAAAAATAATAACAATTTTTACCTATCATAATTTTACACAGACCCCACCATACGTATATATGTGTGTGCGAAGAAATATTATTCAGCGAAACTATAGAAAAATGATCTGATTATTGACATGTATAGATTCACGAGATATTCACAAGAAATTTTCACTACACTTCCGATCTTTGAATTTCAGCAACCAAATGCATATGTATGTAAACAACAGCACACATATACATACATATGTCAAGTCCCATACTGTCCACATATGTTTATGTTTGTATGAGCCCCGGCAGGCAAGCACATGTATATGTGTGTCTGCGTATCTCAATGGGTGTACGGATATGCATCTATGTTTGCGTTAGCATGAGTGATATCATGATGATGATCCCCCCACTTTCATAATAACACCAATACATGCAATCTACATAAATCCAAAATTAAAAAAAAATAATCAGTTTGTCTGATGATCGCAAAAGCAGGAAACCCAGGGTCACAAACTCACATCAATCCAAATAAAATATATATATATATATATATATATATATATATATATATATATATATATATATATATCAATTGTATTTTCAATTTGACATTATTTTTTTTTATTACTAGAACAATATATAAGCCTGTTTTTCAGCCATAACTCCCTGTTTTTTTTATCTGATGCATTCCAAATTTGATAAGTAAATTACATATGAGACACAAATTGTCTTGCATGAATGTTTCATTTAGATTATTTCAGTTAAGTGGACAAAATCTGTGATAAACTTGGTCCAAAATCGGCCTTTGCCATTTAGCCAATAGTTTCTTCATATGATTCCATCTTAAATTGGCAGTCAAACAATCTTTGTATCAAAGATTGTTTAAGAAGGATTTTTGAAGCATTAAAAGGGAAACATTTCCAAAGAACCTCTTATTAACCCCAGCTTTACAGTAAATGTGGGAAGGAGTTGTGGGGCATTCATATGTTTGCAGTTGTCATTGAATTAAGCTCTGACATTTCATGCCTGTTTTTTTTTTCATTATTAAATTTGTGAACAATGCTATACTATTTGAAAGTTATTATGGCCATAGGAATTCTACTGAATATCTAAAACATTGAAACAATTTAACCCTGAGGTACGACCACACAAGAAGGTTTTATTGATGGAATTTCTTTATTAAGAACATTCAAACACTTGTGAAGGATATACTGTAAAAAAGATGAGTGGTGGGTAGTGGTTATTATACCAATAGATGATGCATGCAAACAGGGATGCAAGCAGACATTTCTAGAGAGGGTGTGTGGGTATACAGGGGTGTGTGGTTATACATTTTCTGCCACACACACACACACACACATATATAAATATATGCATGTTTCATTAAAAACGACAGGAAAGGTACTATGGTTAAGTTTATATATATATATATATATACACACCACACACACACACACACACACACACACACACACACACAGTGTGAGATGGATAAATTGCCACCATTTTATATTTTTAATTTTGCTCATGCATGTTGTTTGTTTTTGATTTTATCATCTGCACAGTATAGTAGGGTCAGTTGAGTACCATCTGTGAGAAAAAGAGCACCATGATGCAATTCACTCTGCCAGAAATTTGGAAACAGCATGCTTTACTGCTTGGCATTCAGGCTGAAAGCTCCAATATGAACACTTCAGAGTATTTGGGTGTCAATCTGAGGACAGTGCAGAGGATTCAGGATGAGTTAGATGAGTCCAATGGTGATTACGAAGGTGTTTGGAATGATCACTAGTGATAGTGATATTATGCTTTCACTCATCTTCCCACAGAGCCTCAAACTCAACACAGAGGCCAACATCAGGTGCCTTGAGAAGGTAGTGCTACCTTGGGTAAAGAGGGTGGCTAATGGAAGACCCTATGTCTGGCAACAGGACGCTGCTCCATTCCACACAAACAGGAGAACCCAGTCATGGCTATTAGACAATTTCTGCAACTACATCATGCCTTACATCTGGCCACTTAACTCCCCAGACTGCAACCTCCTTGATTATTATGTGTGGGGCTCAGTTGAGCATGAGACCAACAAAACTCCTTGTAACACCAAAGATGAACTGAAGACAAGGATTATGACAGCATTCACCAATTTAAACAAGGAGACTGTCCATAAGTGTTGCAGGAGATTCTGAAATCATCTGGAGGCTGTAGTTGAAGCCACTGATGATTTTATTGAATAAATTTACTCTTTAGTATTTCAAGATATTTTGTGTAATTTTGGTAAATATATCTGTTAAAATGAGATGTCCATAAGCTAATAATGAAAAATACATCAACAAATTTATTTTTTAACATAATCTCCTTTTTTGTCATTGTACTTAATTCACTGGTGAATATTGTAGTTATTTATACTATTTACATTCAAACTATTGTCCTCATCTTCATTGTTATCACATTTCAGCATTGTGTGTATATCAATCAGGGTAAGCTACAGGGAATTCTGAACTGAATCCTTCATTTAATCAACAAGTGTACACTGTTTTCATTCTACTGCCCATGTCAAAGGATATTTTGTCTAGTTCTTATTTTTAGTACTACTCAAATAAGAACTAGACAAGATATCCCTATATGTTGTTTCTTATTGGCACTATTTACATTCAGATTATTGTCCTCATCTTTGTTGTTGTTATCATAACTTTCAGCTGTTGTATCCTCTGGCTTGAGCCCAAGTACACACTGCCCAGCCTAGGGATTGAACTTACAATTACTATGTCACCAAATTCATGAACTAATGCTTTAGTCCACTAGGCTATTGTCCCATATATAAATAGTGTAAATAATAACTCCTTGTCCCAGAAATGACTCTTATCGATTTGGCACTATATATTTTTTAATCAAAATTTCACTTCAGGCTATGAATTTAAAGATCCACACTCATGTTTATTTGTATATGCCAACACCATTCTGTCACTGAATGTGAAAGAACTGTCAGCCACAAATATTTGCACACACACACACACAATACAGTGTTCTGCTGATTAAACTTTGTTGAGTTGATGTTGTTACCTGAAGTTTTCAGATTTCAATGTCAAAGGCCAAACCAAATTGCATAAAACACAGAGACAAATCAAACTTGGCTTCAAAAAGTTATCCCTGGGGACCAAAGATAGTAGTTTTCTTCTTATAGTCTTTGAATTAAGAACTCATTACATACAACTCCACCCCAAATTATTACCAGTGCAAACATTCAGACTTTCTTAGAATTTATCTGATTAGTCAAAACCAACCAATTTCAGTTCCCAAATCAATTAATGAATATCCCTTCTCCATTTAATTGATTAAACTTCTCAACTAATCCTGTCCATCAATAAAATAATTAACAAGTGGGTGGCCATCCTTAACATTGCAATCTCGCTCCAGGCACAGGATGTCTAGTGAATAGAATGACTTCCTTTTATAATAGCTGAAGTATTCAGGAAATCTGTTAACTAGTTTTATCAATACATTGTGTGGGGTTGCCACACTTGTCTGCCAAAGAACTTCTGAAGACAGAATTAATACCAATGACTGCTAGTTGGTATTTCCAAAAGCAATATATAAGAAAAAAAGGCAAAAGTCTCTCTCTCTCTCTTTTCTCTTTTAGCCACAGGATGTCTTAGAGATAGGACATGTCTGTTTTCCCCTGGGAGATCTTTAGTTGCCAATGAACCAAATGTTGCACTAAACCCAATACAGCACAGTACACAGCTATTTTATTGCTGTTATTAGTGATAGAATAAATTAAATGGAAAGAATATAAAAGGGGGTGAATAAATGTATGCGTTTGTGTGTATGTAGAGAGATGTTCTTTTTTTGTATGTATGTATGTATGTATGTGCAAAATTCATATGAAAAATTGTGAGACTTACACTTTGAGAAGAGTTCTGGAAACAGAAAACTCTCCCTAGATAGGAACAAAACATGTCTTATCTCTAAAGTGTTTTGTGACTAAAAGAGAAAGACATTTACTCCTTTTTCTTATATACTATTTTGAATAATGCCAGAAGTAGTTAGCAGAAGATTTTTTTGGTAGACAAATAAAGTAATCTCCCAGTTCCAAAAATTCTTAAAAGGAGAAGGTTTCATCAACACTAATTAGTGGTATCTTGGGGCTTTTCTCACAAAACTGTTTCCCTCAGGGTTTCTTGTGATCTCTTTCACTCTCTCTCTCTCTCTCTTTATCCCTTACACACACACACACACACACACACACACACACACACACACACAAAATGTACAGCTATATATAGTTTAAATAAACATTTATTTTATCTTTTTCAGGAGTAGATGATGTTTTTGTATTTGTAAATATATTTCGGCAATCCAGTTCCATGAACAATCTCAAATCTCGGATGCTGTACACAGTTGAAACAGCCGGCAAAGCAACATTTTTCACTTCTTTTACCACTGCAGTTGCATTTGCAGCAAACATTGCATCTTATGTAAGTTTATTGTTGAAAATGTCAGTTATTTCTTAAATATGTGTTAAGAATCCAAGAGAAAATTTTTTCAGAATTAATTTAATTTAATGTTGTGATTGACATGATATATATGAGCATTTGGATAACAATTTGCCTGGAACCATGTCTAATTGAAAAACTGTCCATTGGACACTCTACTATATATATATATATATATATATATATGTTTCATCTTCTTTATATTTTTTTTTGGGATTTTCTTTCAGTCTGTTATATATATATATATATATATATATATATATATATATACACAGACTAAAAGAAAATCTACAAATAAAATATAATGATATAATGAAACCAAAATAACAAATAATACCAGATATAATAACTAAATATGTATTTGTTCAAACAATGTAATTTGTGCTATCAAGATATTATTTTTAAACCTGCTTCATGGTCTGGAATTGTGAATTGCATAGAATTAGTTTAGAGTAACAGTTTAACAGAACAATTTATTCAGTAAGAAGATATGTTAAAAACTTTTTTGCTTTGTTTCAGATTCCTGCTATTCATGATTTTGGTCTTTTTATGTTTTTGCTTGTGAGTTGCTGTTGGTTGGCTATAGTTCTTCTGATTCCTCCATCTTTGTATCTGTGGAGTATTTCCTGCAGTCAGTGTGAGGTTTTCACATTCAGATGGTGAGGTTCATTTCACAGATTTCAAAAAATAAAAAAGCAAGGTGTTTATTTTTTACCTTTTGCATCTGGACCAAATTGCAAGGTTTAATTTAGAAGTTAATTTTTAAACATTTTTTAAATTGTTACCATTAATTTTAACATAATGTCTTTTTTACAACTAACTTTGAATCCTTTTTATATAAATCCACACATACCTTTTATTGCAGAGAATATAGAGTGTATGCATAAGCAAAGACAAATTTTTGAAATGATGATTATTAAAGCATTTTATACAGAGGACTACCAGCATCTCTTTGAATAGAAAATAAACAGGGACATTGTAATAAGCAAACACACAATTTTCTTTGTAGGTCACAAATATACCGTTGCAAAGATTTACAGCTTCCGGAAGACTTGTTTCAATTCACAAATCAAAGAAGTTGGAATTGTACTGATGAAATTTCTTCTTTGACTCAAAATGACGAACATAACCATGACGTTCCTCTTTTATCAATGGAAGGATCTAGTCTAATTGGTAAAAAATATTTTCTCACATTTATCCCTTGTACATTTTTGTGTTAGCATTTCATCCTTTCTGTCACTTGATCACAAATTTGTAGATATCTTAATGTATACATTTCTTGTTGGAAGGATTCTCTATGAATCTCAAGTTATTCTGAATACCTGAAGAGGTGATGAAAAATTTTTTGCTCCATCCACTTTCCAAAATCTAACCAAATGTCATCAAACATTTTAGGAGAGCTTTTTGGTTGGGTTGGAGCTCCCTCTTGTAAAATAAAAGTTTTGTAAAACTCAGGCACATTTTTCTAAACGTCATATTTGGCTTTTATTTTTACTGTCAAATGTTTTTTGTTTTCTTATCTCAAATGTTATTTTCCTATAAAAATTTTTGGTATAGTTATTATTTCAAGGATTTTACAAATTTTCTATACATTTCTTAACCATCACTTACTCTATATACATGTACTGCTTTTTAAGATCATTCATTTTTATAAAATTTATATTATTTTAAGCAGCTTCTTTAGCTTTTTAAAATTTTATCACAACTGCAACTTATTCAATTTCCATGATTTATCACTTGAGTATTAATTTGTACAGCACCTTAATTGATTGAGATCTGTTTTTGTAAGCTTTTAGTTCTAATCAAACTGTCAATACTATGAAATAGGAAAGCATTTTAATAATTTTACATTGACAATGGAAGGAAGCAGTGAATGTTTTCATACATGTAGAAAACAGGTATGCAAATCATATTCTAGTTGGTTATCTTTTAAATTAAGATTGTATTATTTTAGACATAAACATATTTGTTGTTGGATGAAAGAATTATTGGTTTTATTTATTCTTTCTCATGTAACTTCTTGATCAGATAATAACTGTTAATTTACAAATTGATCTTTGATTCTACAAAATATTGACTACTGCAGAAATTGAAATTAAGAAGATAATAGGTAAAGTGTATCATTTTTATTGATTTTTATTATCTTTATTTTTTGCATTTAGTATCAAAAATATTTTTTTTCTTTTCAAAGAGTTTTAATACCAATAATATGTCATAGAAATGCTTTAGATATTTTTCTAGATTTTTCTTAATGGCTCAAATATTTTTATCTTTGTTACAAGTCAAGATTATAAAAGAGCTGATTCTCTGTCCATATTTGATTTTGCACATTGTTTTTCTTTATTATGCCAACTGTACAGTATAGTAGGGTCAGTTGGGCACCATCTGTGAGACAAAAAGCGCCATGACACAATTCATCCTGCCAGAAATCTGGAAATGGCATGCTGTACTACTTGTTCATGCCAGAAGCTCCAATACAAACAGTGTTTGTATGCCAATTTGAGGACAGTGCAGAGGATTTGGAAGAGTCTGATAGTGATTATGTAAGTATGGCGACTTGGAAAACTCACTTTGATTGTTCTGATAAGAAAAGAACTCTTGACTTGGTAAGGGGCTCAGCCTCAACACTGAGGCCAACATTAAGTGCCTTGAGAGGGTAGTGCTACCCTGGATAAAAAAGGGTGGCTGTTGGAAGACCTTATGTCTGGCAACAGGACTCTGCACCATGCCCCACATGCAGGAGAACCCAGTCATGGCTGTCAGATAATTTCTGCAACCATATTACACTTTACATCTGGTCACCTAACTCCCCAGACTGCAACCCTTTTCATTATTATGTGTGGGGCACAATGGAGCAAGAGACCAACAAAAATCTGTGTAACACCAAAGATGAACTAAAGGTAAGAATTATAGCAGCATTCACCAACTTAAACACGGGGACTGTCCAGGAGATTTGCAGGAGATTCTGAAGTTGTTTAGAGGGCGTGGTTGAAGGCAATGTTGATTTTATTGAATAAATTTACTCTTTATTACTTCAAGATATTTTTGTGTAATTTTGGTAAATATATCTGTTAAAATGAGATGTCAGTGTTATTTTCATTTTTGCATAATTTAGATGACAATTTATCCATCACACCCTCTACTTGCATATATAGCCATATATCTGTGTCATGCATAAGTGACTTACATAATTTAATGTACACATACACATAATTTGACCGAGTTTGAAATAAGACATTGGAATAATATATTGACTCCCATTCAGTCAGGACTACCCTTACTCTGGGTGAGCAATAAAATCAGTAAAGTGGAAAAAAGAAAGAAAAGATATATTTATTAACATTTTAATTTTTGTCAAATTATCTTTTTAATTATATGCGTGTTTAGCTGTGAAATAAAAAGGAAAAATAATCAGCTTTTCTTTCTCTTAACTACAGTGAAAGAGATTTAGATTATTGATTATGATTTCACTATTTCTATCTATTGTCTGTTCATCATGCCTATCTATTGGTGTCAGTCTATAAATATCACACACACACACACACACACACACATATTTACGGTTACATATAGCCATTTCAACTGTAAAATGGCACCAATCTAGTACTGTGCTTAAATTCATAAAGTCCATAGTTTCATAGTACTATAAAGGAAGTTCATCAGAACAATTACCATGAAAATTATTTATAGAAAAGGCACAGGGAAACTACATTACAGTGGTGAGAAAGTGACTGAAACCGAGATACCAGGTCAGGACTAATAAAATTGCAAGTTCTTCTTTGGATTTTTATGAAGAAGCTCCAAAGCAATAGTGAAATCATGGTTAAATGGTAGACTTATAAATATGTAAGATAGATTCTGACAAGAAAAATTGCCTAGCACAACACAACAAGCCTAGCAGCAGTCCTAGCAATTGATTCAGTATAATCTTTCCACTTCATGTCAATGGAAAATATTAGTCCAAGAAGGCATGATGAGTCACTCTTCCGGAGATTCACATCAGCCATGCTGATGGAATGCAAAAGGATTCTCTCAGACAATTAAAAGAGAGTTATTTTGATTTGGAGGTGTTAAAATTAACATGCCATTCTTTGTCATAGTTAACAACTGATTGTAGGTCATTTTTTGAGAACATATGCCAATTTAATCTTATCAAACCGATCAGACTTACTATTAAGACAAGAGTAAATAGTTGTGTCAACAGCATAGATACTAATTTGAGAAATGATGAAATCAGGGTTAGGGTTATGGATGAAAATTAAGAACAACATAGGTCCAAGAATCTTTTTGCATTAATGCAGGTGTCCTTAGGAGGTGGGATACCTGCATTAGTACAAATAGAATTAGAAGAGTGACCATTCAAGATAATTTACATTTTGTGATTTGATAAGAAAAAATGAATCAAATAAAAAATGAATTCAGAAATACTATAACCTTTCAATTTGTGAAGAAAACCAGAGTCATGAACCTTGTGAAATGCCTTCGAGATGTGTCCAAAGCAACAACCCAAGCTTCACTATTCTTACTTAAAGCTTGACAGACACTTTCAACAATAATTGTTAATACATCAGCAGTTGACCTAGAGAAGGGAAAGCCATATTGCTTATATTAAATACAAACCTGCAAGGTGAGATGCTTAACCAATTCAGAGTCAATTAGAGCCTCTATTACATTGATAAAAAGAGGTAGAAGGCTAATAGGCCAATAATTAGAAGGATCAAACAGTTCACTTGAGTTCTCAAAGACTGGAACTGCAAAATAGGATTTCCAACAAGTAGGAAATAAGAAGCAGTAAAGCATTTATTTTAGAGTTTAGAGAGAACAAGAGCCAATTCAGGAGTACATTTCTTAAAGACTATTGTGGGGATACCATCAAGTCTACATTCTTTGTGGGGATCCAGTTTAGAAATGATAGCAGAAACCATATACAGAGTTATAGACATATTACTCATTAGAAATGGAAAGTCAAGTAAAGATACTGAGTAATGAAAAAATTGAAAATCTGAATGCTGGCAACATCAATAATATTAGAATGCTTAAGCCACTTGACGTGATGAGTACCGAAATTACCAAACACAAAAATGTTTGCAGATGAATGTAGAGAGAGAGCCTATGGTGGCATAAGACTTAAGATTAAAAGGATTCTCTCAGACAATTAAAAGTTAAAATGAACAGTTGGTTTACCCACACTAAGAAGATTAATGGAGGTTAATAATTACATGGAAATACACAAGTAATTTTAACAAAACAAGATAAGGAATTCATTTATGAATTTACATGCTTGAAGTTGTGTCAGTAGTTCATTTCAGGAAAATAAATCAGAAATTTTTAAGGTCCATAGTTTCAACAAATTATCATGAAGAGAAAATGTTCATACAACAGATTAAATGATTTGACACAAAATAATATTAAAAAATGTTTAAAACAAAAGTAAGAGAGTTTGTTGTTCACAGAAGGAATATATGGTTGCATACATTCAAAAGTAGATGAAGAGAGATAATTTGAAATACTTAGCTTTCATGAATTATTGAAATAAAGATCTTGGTTAAGGCCAATAATATAATTGGTGAGTAATTTGATTCTGGCAAAAATCTGAATGCTGAACATGTGAACAGAAATGAAACTTTTCACATGTCTTCATACATTCATCTCTTCTTAATTTAATTTTTTCCTCATTCATATAAAAAGGATTTCGCATAAGGTTGCTATTTTCTTTTCTTTCTTTTTTCTAGGCTCAATGGCTAATTTCTGTGAAGACAATAGAGTTCTTATACTTAGATAATTCCAAAGATGCAGATCAGGCCATTTGGTTATTAGCATGCATTATGTGTGATTGGGATTTTAAAGTTTTTGAATCAATGGGAGCAGCAAAGAATATTTGCAAAAGATTTCTGCTCACGTTGAGAAAATTCTTTTCATTTCTTTAAAATATTTTTACCAGAAGTAGACTTTGGATAGTTTGAGTAGTTGATTTTTAAATGTAGTCGACCTGATGAACCTAGTGTTAACAGCCCAACTAGTTTTTCTGTTTTCATGTCACATGCTAGTGAAGATGGTTGTGAGGACAGAACTAATTTAATGTTTTCCTTATTCGGCCACATACACCATAATTTATAGGATCTCGCATGATGTGCATAGTAGATGTGCACCCTGTATATTTTTGGTTTCTGGTCATGATGATACAGTTTTACAGTAGATTGGAATTTGTAATTCCTACTATGACAGTCTTTTTCTTTCATTGGTTGAATATCACTCTCACTCTATTCCTGTCTATTTATTGGTATTTAGAACCTGACAGCATAATAATGGCCACAAAGTAACTGTCCAGTTTATTGTTGATGATAATAAAGTGAATTTTGGTTAAATTGATAAAAACTTAACTGGCACAGAAAGTGAATTCTGATAAAAATGGCACAAGTGGAATGAAGAAAAGACTAATTTCTCAGTGAAAAATGGCTAATAAAAACATTAGATAATTATACAATATACATTTTACAATTATTTTTTAAATTTTTTCTTTTTTTTTTTTTCAGAAATATCTTTAGGTCTGTCATTGAATGAAATGATACATGTTAACATGCAAAAATACATACCCACCCAATTTGAATTAAATTGAAAAAGATATCTGTGCCAAGAGGGTTAACAGGTTGAAGTACTTTTTGACTCCTGTTTCCAACTGAATATATTTTCAAATAAGTGTTTATCCATTTAAAATACTACAAGTTAGATTTGAAATCTGATCACCAATATGTATATAGGCATTGAGTAATTTTCAAATTATTTCTTCAAACAAACCTTAACTGTTAGCTTTCAAAGCAATAATTCTTTATAAAATAAAGAATAGGAAAGTGCAGAGTTAGTACAACGGTCTTGTGCACTCCCCCACTGAATCTATGATACAGTCCCCCCCGCTACATACACACTCTGCTATATCTCAATTGTCATCAGATAGTATTCATATAAAATACAAATTTTATTGTAACTTAATTATGTACAATAATGGATCATATTCAATATAGGTGAACAATTCAACTAGAAAAATTGAAAATAAATATAATATATCTAAATACAAATTAGAGACATCTCATAACAGATCAATTCATCCTAAATAAATCAACAATGTTTTGTGGCAATTTTTAATATCAACTTGAGATTCTTGTTAAAAAGTTGAATAATTTTAAAATATTCAACATTATAGATAAAAAATAGTGAATTTTATATTTTTTTTTTTTTAGACTTAGTATGAGAAAAACAAATCCACGGATTTGGACAAAAAAAAAAAATTGGGGGAGTATTAGGTGCTGGCCCTGGGAAAATGTTAGGTTTTATGTGGAGAAATCTATCTTGCTATATTTTCAATACCTGTAGGATTTTAAAATATTTATTTGTTTTTAACTGAGGTTTTTAAATTTTATTTGTAGGTTTTATCTTGTTTATTTCCTAGAAATACATTATTATTACTTTCAAAGTTAAAATTATATTTACCATCCAATATTTATTTTGTATTAATATTTTGTATGTCATTGTATGCCATACAATAACATGTGTATTAAAATTAAATTTCATTTAAGAATTTGCTTTGACAATTTGTTACATATATTTATCTGCTTTCCTTTTCAAGAAATCTTTTAGACATTGGGTTCTGCTTTCTTTATTTGATTGAGATTCTAGAATAAATAATCAAATAACATTTTCACCTCTTATTTATCACTCAACATCCACTCCTCACTTGGATTAAGAACCTATTTTTATAACCAACCATAAAATACTTTTCTTTTCTACATTACCATACATGTAAAAGAGAAATTTTCAAGAGAATTAACAATATCTGTTTGCAAAAAATACCTGAGAACATATTTATAGATTCATTCTTGGTAAAGTTTTACATTATTTATTCTGGATGATCTTAAGATATTTACAATATTTTCCAATTTTTCCCTCTTTCTAATGTTATGAATTTCTAGTGTAGGGGAATTATAAATCTGAGTAAATAATTGTAAAATCCCTAAGTTTTTTTTATATATACAAAAATACTCATAGAAAATGATAAACAGTAAGACATGGAAACAACAAAATAAGTATTATTTATTATCAAGCTAGGGACATGAGAGACAGTAATACTGAGTAAAATTGGGATCAAATGTAGATCAAATATGGATCAGAATCTAACAGAATGATAAGATAAAGAATGAGTAAATTTTATACAGTCTTTCTTGTATGTTTTTTATACACGTGTGTAACGACTGTACAGATAATTTAACTGGAAAATGAAAGAACTGTCTGGAGTTTTCTTACTTCAAATTTTTGTTGAGTATTAACAGACAAATGTTACAATTTTGGCCTGAAAAAGGAAAGGAGCTGAAATTTTTGTTTTTCCATGTGTTGACTGCCAGTCTGATAGTGGGGATGTCATGTGTTTGTGTGTAGAGGAGAAAAGTGGGATTGACTCTTAATGGTCTAGAAAGAGTGAATTTATGTTAATTATAATTGTTATAATTATTTTATTATAATTACTTTTGACACTATAAGTAACTTTTATTTATTTATTTTTTATGTACACAACAAAGGAACAGTATAATTGACATTTATTTATTGATTTTTTTATGGACATGACACTAGTAAGAAACAAAACTGTTTTTAAGGACAACATGATGAAAAAAGAATATTAGTATAGATTGTTAGAGGACATTGCAATTGAGTTAGTTAAACACATAGCCAGTCATTTTAACAGGCATTTAACTATTTTTTTCATGTTTCAATCTATATAGCAAAAAATTCTGTTAATTTTTGCAGTCACTGTGTCATACCATGAAATCTAAGAATAATTTTGTTTTTGAGAAATTTTCAGTCTCCCAGAAGTGAAGCGTAAAGCAAAAGAATAATTTCTCTTAAATACTACAAATTTCTTTCATGAAAAAGATTTTAATTTTATTCTGAGTTAATTAGCAAAAACATTATTAAGCTATGAAAATTAGCAGATTTTATTAATTCTTTGTGTGCAGAAGAGTAAAGCTTAAAAAACTAAAATAGTGTTTTAAATTCACACAAACAAAATTTGCTCAAAAAGAAATTTTGAATTATCATAAATCATATTTTAAATAACAGTTAAATAGTTCTTTATGAAAATATTGCACAATTTTTCCTATTTTAAATAATATGTATTTTATGAGTGAATACATAAGTTTTTAAAATAGTACCAAGTTGTTTTTAAACATATCAGGGATTTTTAGTGATGTCCTTGCTTCTATGACATTTTATGTTTCTTTTTCTTTCAGACAATACAACTGAGGATGATGTGCTTTTGTCTTCTAGCACAACTGATATCCATGAGAATTTGGTAAACAGTGAAGAAGGTTTGGAGGAAAATCAAGAACATCAAAAACAAATGCCATTTAGTGTTCTTTTGCAAGGACTTCTCTATCATTATGTAGCCAGACCAATTATCTATGCTCGTTATTTTATCATTGGTAAGTTTATAATTACTAGAAATGTGTAGCATGTCATACACAAATATCAGCATCATTGTAGTCTATGAAGAGGACTAATCTTATAGTTAACAGAAAATCTTTACTGTCAAATCAGCTTAAAAAATCTTATAGATATTTATTTTTGAAGAGGTGAGTGGTCAAATAGTTTAACATTCTGATCATGAGATTTGGGTTCAAATCTCACCTTGATTGATTTGTCAGGGATGTAACTTCTTAATGTTACCAGTATGTGCCACCATTGGAAAATGCCTGAAAACCATGCCACAGCAATATTAAAAATATTTGGGTCACTATCCAATGACGGACTTAGTAACATGAATTGGCTGAAATATGGTAAAATCAAAAATAACAAAAAGACAGGCCTATCACTAAATGGGACTTGAGGGCCTTCCAAAAAAGCATTTGGCTTCTATCACCTGTGAAAATGATGGTCACTAGTATCAGAATGCAAATTTTTACTCTTGGTCTCCCCCAACAACTTAAAGAACTGCCTGCAAAAACATTTGTAATTACAATAAATCATTTTAGAATTAATTCAGAATTAATTTATTTTTGTATAATTTATTATCAAAAGAAAAATTGACTTGCACATTAATTTCTAAATACTATGATCTCTGAGTTATTGAAAAAACTAAATGAAATCTTTCAGTGCAAAGTATTATTCGAGAGAACCAAAATCCTTTCATCTTTTTGATTGGTTGTTATAACTGTACATCATTATATTTCTATAGTTAGAGATTGTCTACATGTTAAGTTTCTTTTTATTCAGAATCTTATTTCTTCAATTTTAATGGTAAATTCCTTAATTGCTTGGTTATTCTTTGGCTATATAGCCTTAATGATCAAGATCCTTACAAACATGAACACTTAGGATAACTTAAAGGATGTTTATAAGTATTCAATATTTAATTAACACACTTCTACTGCTGTAGACATTCTGTGGATACAGGGGTGTTGTTTAGTTTCATCTGTACTATAGAATGTCTATTCAAAATCAAAATGGCAGCACCCATGAGAAATTGCTATAAGCTTCTTTATAGTCATTTATTTCCAGTAAATGGCAATTTCCTATTATTCTAAAAATGGGCCAGCATAGTCAAAGCAACAATGCTATAACAATGTAGCAGTGTTAATAAATAAAACATAGGGTCGATTTTGTTAATATCAGCCCTAAAACATAATTTGATACTTATTTTGTAAATAAACCACCTGACAAATTCATGAAAGAATGTTGTGAAAAATAAAATAACGTAATTTGAAAATATTTGTTACCTGTTTTATCTTGCTATTAGTTATAGTGGTAGTGACTTGCAGAAATTTACTGATGCTTGGTGATGCATGAGGTCAACTTCTTGATTGTATGTCCCTAAGACTCAAGTAGGGTCGCCTATAGAGCCTAGTACTGAGAAATGTGAAAAAGGAAGACATTTTAAATATGTAAAAACAGATGAAATATAAAATAAACACTTTATTCAAATTAAATATAAACTAAATTATTATTTCACTCTTTGAATGGATGGCTGAGGCCATTGCACCCTCTGTACCTCCTTCTGCACACTACTGTATAACAGCAAGACATTTTTTAGTAACTTGTTGTTTTACATCTTTAAAAATGCTTTTGTCTTGTTTTTATTTTTTAGTTCTCTTTTTCATCATCCTGTGTATCAGTGTTGGTCTAATATCTACAATACAGCCAGCCAGCAAACCCCCACAACTGTTTAGGTCAACAACAAACCTCCAAAGACTATTAAATTTAAAGGCTAATCTTAGTATGGAACACAGAATTTCATGTGATGATTGCTCGGGATTGTTTAAGGTTTGCTTATAATTTACTAACAATAATCTCCAAAAAATATCACTTCTTTTTTTAATCCTAAATAAAATTTATAATACATCATGATATTAAAATTGAAGGATATATTTTTTAATATATTTTCACTGATAATCTCAGTTCTTCTTTGAGTGTGACAGCATAATTCAAATACATGAGCAGAAGGAAATACTTTTTGCTCTTGCTATTCTGAACTAGAAGAGAAAATAATGACACAATCAAGATGTTGACATTCCACACTTAATGGCTGATACTTTTAATTAGTATCACTGTCTATTTAAGCAAAGTATCTTCAATCTCTATCACTCTAAGAAATACCTTATCTTATTTTCGTTTTTAGTTCAGAAATATTAGTAGAGATAAAAAGAATATTTCTTATATATGTATGTATATATCTCTTTTGTAGGAGAGTCCTGTTAAAGCCACTCTTTCTAAAGACATTTCTACATCTATAAACAAAGATCATAGAACCGATGAATCTTCAGTTGACATGAATACAAAATTACCAAAATTTTTAAATAACACTACAAAAGGTATAAACTCACCTCGCATATCAAATGTCAACCATGAAAAGCAAGAGACAGAGAGCCATCATTTACAAGGTACTGTTTTTGTTTGTCATTTTCTAATTTAAATATTTTTGATCTGTTTTGCACTTAAAACAAACCTATCTCTCTGTACAGTTTCATATCAATTGTACATCATATATTAATTATTTTCCATGTTTCAGTATAAAAGAAAAAATCATACTTCAAATGTATTTAGTGAAACCCTTTTTCAGAATTCAATTACAATTATTTTTCTAAAATTACGTTTATTTTTGCTATTTTAGAAAAAGATACTCTTTTTTTTTTTAAAAAAAATATCACAATCCTGTGAAAAAAATGCATAGTAAGTCCATTCCAAAAATGATCAGAGTGGCCAGACATGTGGTTATTAACTGAATTTATATATATACATTAATATGTATAATATAATAGTTATGAAGTTGATATACACACAATAGTAGTAGTCATCACAAGTGATACTCTCCCAGTCTACCTCAAGTTCTGCCTATATAGTGGTATGGTTATGCTAATTAGTATTAGCCCAACCAATCCCAATACATCTCCTGGAGCCTTTTAGGTTTAACTCCCTGAGTTGACCTAATGCTTCTCCTACATACCCTCCCCCTTTCACTGGTTTCAAGATGATTTCTCCTTCTACTTCTTTCTTCTTCAATCTCCACTGTTTTGTTCTCTGATTCCTCAGAAAGCCCTTGAGCACTCATTGTCTCATCTGATCTATTATCTTGTTCTTCTCTATCTTCATCTAACTCCTCAGTATCTTCAGTTTCTGAGTCTTCACAGTTTTAGCACAATCTTAGTTAGTCAGCATGCACCAATAGACCTCTACCATTCTTGGAAACCAACGCTGTATTCTGTCCCTTCTGCATTACAAATCTTACTTTTTCTGGCCCCTCTTCTCCATTTCTCTTGTACCATATCTTCTCATTTGTTGAGTATGACATTGTTAATGTTGCTCTAATTTGTCTTCCCATTAACATGGATGGACTTTGTAATCTTCTGGCATGAGGTATTGTCCGATAACTTAATAACAATCTTGGTAGAAAATTTTTGATTCTTTCATACTGTGGGGAGAACACTTTTAATCCCATTTTTATGGGTTGCACCATTCACTTTGCTATTCCATTTGATTGCTGATAAGGAGGGGTTTTATACAGTATGCATCCAATGTTTCTTAACCATGAAAACAAGTTTTCATTGCAAAACTCTAGAGCATTATCTGTTACCAATGTTCTTGGTATGCCATTCCTGGCAAAGACTACTCATAAAATTTGTTGTACTGTATCTGATTTTCTATCCTGAACCCTAAAAACTTCAGGCCATGCCAAAAATGCATGCACCAATATCAGACACAATCCTATACCATTCACATGTGCATGGTCCATATGAACCCTGGACCAGGGTTCAGTTTCCTTTGGCCACGAATGTATCTTGTTCTGTTGAAAAATTTTTTATCTCCACACATTTAGGACATTTATTCGTGTATGTCTCCATGTCACGAGTGTGACCAGGCCACTAGGCTTCCAATTTTACATGTTTTAGTTTAGCAGCTATTCCACAATGCACATCATCATGCACTCTTTTGATTACCTATGTTCTACTTTCTGGTGGTACCACCCGATCACCATTGCAAACTACGCCATTTTCTATTGTCAATTTATGTCAGATCTCTTTGTACGGTCTTTCCACTTTAGAACAATTATTCCATTTGTTGTCCCTTATTCTTTCTACGATCCTATACTGGATCTTGTAGAGAGTCTATTAATGGGCAATACATCGGTCTCCTCCCAATGTAAAATTCCATCTTCCACTTTCTCATTTCTCTTATGTTGTTCCTCCTCAAACTGTAGTCGTGATAGTGCATCTACGTGTGGGACCGTGTTTCCTTTCACATATTCTATTTCATAGTCAAAGGCCATCAACTTCATTGCCCATCTTAGTATCCTTGAGGATGTGACCTTTGGCAATTCCTTTCTAGGATGGAATATAAATTCTAGTAGTTTATGATCCAACCTGAGCAAAAACTTTTTTCCTAACAAAAATTCTCTTGCTCTGGTCATGCTCTATACTATAGCCAACACTTCCTTTTCAATATTTGAATAGTTCTTTTCAACTGGTATTAATTTCCTGGAAAGATACATCACCCGGTGGCCTTCCTGTGACAAAATTGCTGATACAGACTGTCCACTCACATTTGTTGTTAATGTAACTTCTTTTTTAGGGTTAAAAATCTTGACAACCGGTTTCTTGAATAATGCTAACTTCAATTCAACATAGGCTTTTTGGTGAATATCAGTCCACTGAAACTCCTTATTTTTTTTTTTTGTAAATCAGCAAAAGGCTCAATTCTTTCTGAATATTTTGGTAAGAACTTGCTATAAAAATTAGCTAATTGAAGAAATGATTCCAACTCTTTCTTATTACTTGGAGACGAAACATTCAATATTTTCTGTATCAACTTTGAATCCAGTGAAGTACCCTCCTCTGAGATTTGATATCCTAAAAACATTAATTTTTTGAACTTGAATAAACATTTATCCTCATTTAAAGTCATTCCTGCATTTCTGAGTATACTCATTACCATTTTAGTTTTCTGTTTTAATTCTTCTTCAGTATGGGTGCTTAACTTGGGTCATCCTGGTATATTATTATATTTTTTACTTTTCCTTCTAGTAGATTTTCTATGGCTTTCTGAAAAATCGAACTAGCTGTTTTAACTCCAAATGGCAAATGAGTCCACCTCAATAAGCCTATGGGCAAGTTTATTGTTGTAATTTCTTTGAATTCGTCGTCTCTTTGGATTTGATTGTATGCATTCTTTAAATTTATACCACTCAACTTAATACTCTTGAATGTATTCCTTTTATTTTTCATTTTTATCACAAAAACATCCATTTGATTGTTTTTTTTCTGTCCTGCACTATTTTCACATTTTTTACATTGTTGCTTTGCCTTTTATACACAGCTTTAAAATGATTCTTTTTTTCTGCAATTATCACATATCTTTCCCCATGCAAGACATTTTTCTCTTTTTTGTTCATGTTCATAACTGCAATACTTGCATTTTGATTTTGTTTTTTTCTTAATGGCACGTATTTCCATCATTTCTTCTTCTTGTTTTTTTTTTATATTATAATTTTCAATCAACTCATCCTGCTGTATAAATTCAATACACATGTCCAAATTCATATTATTGGATTGCATCCTCTTCAAAACTTTAAGGGTTTGCGTAGTATCGTATAATCCTTCCACCAGTTGAAGCTGAATCAATTCTTCCTCTGTTGTCATTTCTTTTCGTCTAAGTTCATTAAAGTCACAATACCCACTAATATCTCTTAGTCTACTGAGATATTTCTTCAGACTCTTGTCTTAATGCTAGAAATTTGGTTCTTTCTGCAATAACCAATATTCTTTTTTTTGGTTGGATATACTTTAAAATTATGTCCTTAATGTCTTTAAAGTTTCAATCTTCTCTGGGTAAAGTCATTAAGGATACTTGCTTAATGGCTTTACACTCCATGGTGGCCATAAATAAATCCATGAATTGTTTCTGCTTCTGCTAATTTCTTCATTCTGGCTATTGCCCCTAAGCACTTTAACCAGATAATAACCTCTTTAGGGTTTTCCAAATCCAACATAGCTTTGTTCGGTGAAGTTGATATACACACAGTAGTAGTAGTTGTCACAAGTGAAACTCTCCCAGTCTATCTTAAGTTCTGCCTATATAGTGGTATCATTATGCTAATTAGTATTAGCTTAACCAATCCCACTACAATAATATAATATAATATAAGTGCTTCCATTTGGCCAAGAGGCCAATAATAAACAATAAATATTATTAATTTTTTCAATATTATTTTTGTTCTTATCTTATCTCTTAAATTTCTTTCATCAGCCTACTATATTTATACACAAACATACATAGATACATACATAGAAACATAAATATATAGATACATAAATATATATATATATATATATATATATATATATATATATATATATATATATTTATTTATTTATTTATAAATATAAATGACAATAGGAAAACTGTAGTTATTGCTGACATGTTTCGTCCAATGTGGACTTTCTCAAAGCAAAAAAAACGAAATTAAAGAAGGTAACTAATAATAACAAAAAACAGAATGTCCTTAGCAACTGGAGGAATGTAGAGAATGCTATTTTCATATTGTTAACTGAAAATAACGTCAGTTATTGTCACGTGTGGAGAATATTATCATTATAACTGTGTTGGCGGATTTAACCTTTTTCTTTTGATTTTACAATATTGTTGTTTTAGGTGTGTTAAGATTTAACTTATTTAGAAAACTCATGTATCTAATGTATTGCAGCTATCAAGTTGGTCAAGTCAAGGTGGGGCTGGGGTATCTTTCTATTGATATAAACTTTCTTTTTTCAAGTAGAAATTTGTGATAGTATCTATGTTCTAACACATCATCTGGGTTTCAATACATTTGGCATTTTTATTTTTTATTTTTATATAAATTTCAATTACAATTTCTTCAAAAGGGGCATTCAAATATTATTTAGTTACATTTTTAATATTTATATTTTTATTTGTACCAACTTAAGATATTATATTTATTTACTAATTGAGTACATATATGGTAATGTTAAAATTAATATATTAGAATCTAACTGTATTCATAAACTATTTTATTTATGATCAAATATAAATCTGTGAGTTTCATTTTTTGAAAAATTATCTATTACTTAATGAAAAAATTTGGCAATGTCTACAAAAACTGACTATTTCATTTCTTTGATTTAATGAATTTTTATTTTTCAGAAACTTAATAATATTTAACTTTTCATGTATGCACAAAGGACTTGCGTCATTTAAAGATCTACAAGTTCTTGTTTTCTTTATTAATTTCCATTTTAATGTTGGTGTTTTATTTGTTTCTTTTAAATGCCAGAAATATTTAGATAAGGATGTCTGGTTGTGGTAGTATTATTGAACAAACATTGGTGTTGGTTCCATCTTAATTTAAATTTGTACATCTTATATAGACTCTAACATTATTAGGATTCTCAATAGATGAGATAAACTATGGATTTTATACAACTTGTTTAATTTTAACTTGTTTAAATTTAATTTTTATGATTGAGTTTGAATTGAAGTTTCAGTTTTGAAACATGGAAATTTCAGTGTTGTGATGATTATATATTTTTAAAAAAACAATTATAATATTGTATATATATCTTTGTGTGTGTGTGTGTGTTATTTACATTGATCAGATATTATTTGATATTTAAGAGATTTTTCTGCACTGACTAAATTTGCTGGAAAATATTGAATTTATTTAATTTTTGTAGGTTCTGTTGAGAAAAATTTTGATGTGTGTCAAAGTAGCCATTGTGAAAATTTGAAAAACCGGCCATCATTTGGAAGTGGAGCTGTTGTTTACATAGTGTTAGGCATTAAAGGCCTTGATCAAAGTAACGTCACCAATGAACATGTCATCAATTTTGACAAGGTATTTTGATTGTTTATTTCATTGCTGTAATTTTAAAACTTCAACTCCTTATTTTATGAAAAGGTGTATGAAAAGTATTATGTATAGAGAAAGAAATGAAAATTATGTCTTATTGGGTTTTGTTTTAGTGGAATCTCAATATTGTTCAAGATGTCAGTCAATATTAAAATTTAAAAACAAATTTCATTGCTTCTTGCAGGCAGATGCAGAAAGCCCTAAAACAGAGGTTGGCAACTTCTTTGCCTCCACAGGCTGGATCAGGTGTTTTGATGGATAATGGGCTGGACAAAGGCCATAAAAGAATAATTATTGGAAATTACATATGCTAAAATCTAATCACTAGTGTTGACTATATTTACAAATAATCTGTATTAACCACAGATGAATGTAGTAATTGAAAAACATCATTTATTCAATTTAAGACATCATTGGAATCATTTGTTTAAAAACTCTTTAAAATACTTAGCTGCCAAAAAGTTAATGGAAAACTTGATGTTTTTTGTTCTTTGAAAGCTTCTCAATATTAGGCTTCAAATTTGTTGATGCCAAGAGCAAGATATTATCAAGATAATTATTAGAGAATCTTGTTTTGAAATTGTTCTTAGTTTGCTTCAAATTGGGAAATAATTGCTCACAATGATAAGTGCTTCCAAACAACGGTGCCATCTTTTTTGCATGATTCACTAAGTTAGTATACTTACCACTTCAAAAAATATATATTTTGCATAGAAATCAATCAATGAAACATCTTAAGAATGAAATTCTGGTATGGTCTCCACCTTCACATCAAATAGTGTAGCTATTAATCTGAATTGATTTGCATGCAGATGAAAGTCAGCAAAATGTGATGCAAATTCATTTCTCAAATCCTAAATTACATTCACAAATCTTGGGGTTTGCTTCCTTGAAATGATGGAAAAAACACATAATTTTTTTTGAAGTTGATGCTGTTATAAAATAAAATAAGACATATCTCGGCTGATTTACAGGCAAATACTCAAGAGCGAGAACCGGGACAAAGCCCCGTCACAAAATGACCATTATCTTTCTTTACAAATGTTCCCGACACACGTGTTCTGGTCAAAAAATAAAATAATAATTAAAGTGTTCTATTTTTCGTCCAATAAAAATGCTTCCCTCCTAATTATACTCTTTCACACTCATAAACTTTTCACACTCACCACCAACGCCAGTGACGTCGCATGTGGAGCAATCTTGATGCAAGAAGCCGACAATGGGAAGAAAGATATCATAGCGGTCGCTTCCCATACATTCAACTCCACGGAACAGAACTGGTCCACGACGGAACGAGAGGCATATGCAATAAAGTGGGCAATATTGAAATTTGATTATTTCCTTCGCAAACTGCCCCTTATCATCTTCACCGACCACAGATCGCTGACGTATCTGGACCAACGAGAGTTCAATAATGCCAAAACGACGATGGCAAGAAGAAATTTCATGTTATAAATTCGTCTTGGAATATGTTGAAGGCGAATTAAATGTATGGGCTGACATGCTCAGCAGAGGCTGGGACATAAGAAAACGAAAGCCCCGAACGATCCTACACCGCAGGCAGGACATTCGAGGTAAGCGGTTCAGACCTCCACGTATACATTCCATCTTGGTGCCCCCCGCGAGTTTAACGGTTTACAGCTCATTCCCAAAACTCACACACCACAAAACGCCTGCACCCACAAGCGCGTCACCAACGCATTCTTCGCCTATCACTCCACCGCCACCATCCCCACTGAGAGAATCTGCAACCACCTCGCATCGCAGATGAACAACTGAAGGACGTCGCCTGGCAAAGATCATCAGCACCCTCCAGTCACCCACCCCAAGCGAACCTCATATCGATCCTGACGACCACCGAGCTACGCTTTTCAAAAAACATTTGCACCAATTTTTCTAGAACCAGGCACCTCCGTTTTGATGATAAGAGACAGTAAACACTCTCCGAGATTGGTTGTACCATACAAACTACGACCCAGATACCTCTACCAGGCACATGAGGGCAACAACCACTCAGGTGTCACCCATATGCAAGAACTCCTTTCCAGCTACTGGTGGGAATTCAAAAACCGCGATATCAAGGCCTATGTCGATTCTTGTGACACGTGTGCTAAGTGCAAGTGCAACTACGGTAGACGTACCCACTGGCCCATTGGCCACTGCAAACGAGGAAAGAGACCATTCGATCTCGTCTTTATAGACTTTGTCACAATGCCCAACTCAAAGGGAAAATGCTACATCCTAACCATCTTGGATAGTATCAGCCGACATTTTACAGCCATACCATGCGCGAGAGACCGTGTTATCGATGCCGCCCGCGGATTGTACCATTTCTTCCTTCGACACAGAGAGATTCCACGCAAGAACTTCACTGTCCTTGGTGCCCGCAAAGCTCAGGAAATATCGAGAGACAACATTGCACGATGAAGAACGCACTTTATATGTTATGCGAAGACAGGAACTGTGAATGGACAGACGTTCTAGAATCTGTCGTTTCGTCCATGAATGCCACGACCAACAGCGCCACCGGTGTCTCCCCGCACTATGCCATTACTGGCCGTCACCCCAACATCGGGCTATCTACACTACACAGAAAAGAAATCACAAGCGACAATCCTGTAGCATATGGAATGCAAATTAATGCCCTGCTAAAGCAGGTTCACCACCATGTCACCCTGGCCAACAATGAAGCTGACCACAAACTTGAGACTAACTTAAATCGCCTCACATACAAGGACCCAATACAAGTAGGTGACAAGGTTTTACTTCATCGGCCACACTCAACTGTAGCCCAATCCTCTCATCTCCTCTGGATAGGAAATTACACCATTATAAAAACGAACAATATGATGTGTCAGGTGCAAAACGATGATGGTGATACAATCTGGATTCACCGTGCACATATCCGACGACTGACTCCACGCCCAACACATCTTTCTAATACAATCCCTGTGCCTCCACCATGTAATAGTCACCAGGATCATTCTCCTCCACATCCCTCTGGGACACATAATTCAGCAAATAATTCCATACCAAAACAAATGCCAATAAGAAGAACACAAGGACAACTTCCCACATGCTTCAGAGACTTTATCATGAATTAATCACCCAAATATACACGAATAACGCTCACTGTAAATGAGACCGAGATCTGGGGGAGCCTTGTTATAAAATAAAATAAGACATATCTCGGCTGATTTACAGGCAAATACTCAAGAGCGAGAACCGGATGTGAACGGGACAAAGCCCCGTCACAAAATGACCATTATCTTTCTTTACAAATGTTCCCGACACACGTGTTCCGGTCGAAAAATAAAATAATATTTAAAGTGATCTATTTTTCGTCCAATAAAAATGCTTCCCTCCTAATTATACTTGCTTCGTTTTTCTAGCCTGTTAAGCCATAAAAAAACGCTATAAAAGGGGTCACATGGAAGTTCAACAGGCAGTCAACAGGTGTCCAGGGCAAGGACCTGTCACGGTCAGCTACTGACAGCAGGGGAGTGTCAATCACCGTCAACATGTGTGAACTACTATGAGAGATCGACCTAGATCCGAAAGCCGGCTTATGAACTTTACCACAAGGTAGCTGTCCCAAACCCTCACCTTCCTGTTGAAATAAACCACGTAAATCTATTTCTACTGTTGTCGTATTTCTTTCTTGCAACCACACGCTTGTCTATAACAATGCTCCACAACTGTAGCTTTTTTCAAAGGCAACAATATGGTTATATATTTCATTTATGAGCTGAGTTTTACCATGAAGTTGTAAATTTGAGATATTTAAATGAGGCACAATAGCCACAATAATTGCCAAAGTTTCAAGCCAATCAAGTTCTCAAAAATGTGAACTATCTACATGTTTGCTTTCAAGAAATATCACCACCTCTTTGTAAAAGGCAAGTACTCTTTTAGCATTGACCCTTGGCTAAGTCAGCATACATCACAGAATTAAGCAAGGTCACCATCTTCTGCCTCAGTATATAGCAAAAACTGTTTAAATTGACAATGATTTAATACACAAGATAGGATTAGATTCATGGCCTTCACAACAATATTCATAACATTTTTAAATTTCAAAGACTTGGGGTACATGTCTCTTGATGGATAATTCAATGAATTTTAACAAGTTTCCATGTGATTCCAAGGCTTTCCATATATTCTTGCAGCAATGCAACAAAGCCTTTTTTTTGTCCTTCTATTGCTAGGGCATCAGTTGTGATGCCAATTAGCTTCAAAAAATCAAACCCCATCCGTGATATCATTTTCAACAATGCTTCAAAGATGACTTCTCTGGTTATCGTTTCCTTCATAGGAATTAACTGAATAAATTCTTCAAAAAACTGAAAAGTTGAAGTCACTCTTCACACTAAGACAGCAAGTTGTGCAGTGTCACTTAAGTCTGTACTCTCATCGACTGCAATTGACAAATATTATAATTTACTGCAGGTGTTGATTAATTTATTTTTAATATCTGCTGACATTCTACAACCCGCCATGTCACTGTCCTCAGAGACAGGCTGATGGTTTCAAATAAAGACTTTTTTCCAGACAAACAATATCCAACACTGCCAGTATGCATTCTTTAAAAAAAAATCACCATCTGTAAAAGTTTTCATCTTTTCAGCAATGCGTTTTTAGATTTTATAGCTGACAATTGTATTTGCAACATTTTCACCTTTTCTCTTTTTAAAAATGACATTTGTTTTTCAAAATTAGATTTTAACCACTCAACTTCATCTTTCGTTGCTTGTTCAGTAAATTTCCTAAAGTTTTCACAATGGTGCATCTTATAATGTCACCTAATATTTGGTATGTTAATCACAGCAATGCTTTCTAGACATGAGACAAACCAGTTTCTCACTGAGCTCAAAGTAATGTCCAAGTATCTTGGAAAATTCAGCATTCAGCATCTACTTTTCTTCATTTTGCATTCATTGTCATCAAAATTTTTTCCTACGAATAAAATTAAAATTTACATTAAAAATAAAACTATTACAGTTTTGTACAATAATAAACAGCCTAATTGCAAGAATACAGAGCCAAATTATTCAAATAGAGGTTAATTTTATAAATGTTTAAACAAATTAATCATTGTTTAAAATGAATAATTCAATTTTTTTACTAATTTTACATCTGAATAATTCTATTTTTCTTAATTATTTATTTTTAAAGGTAGGCCTTTGATTGTATTCAAAAGCCTCGTCTTTCATATTACAATTGTTATAATACCAGTTAGTTATGGCTAATAATGTATATATTATTATTATTATTGTTATTTTTGTGTTGTGTGAGGGGATATGATGTGCAGAGCCTTGCATACATGATGCATTTTTAATTGTGTTTTTGCTGTCATAGCATTCACATCCAGTTGGTGGTGGACATTAAATGGGGATGAATCAGAAGATTTTTGGAAGAATGTAACAGCTGGCCTTTCATTATTTTTGAAAGCCTCATCTCTCATATTACAAAAAATTTAAATTTTAAATAAACACCAAAGTTGAACAAAATATTCATACCAAAATTCATGCACCTCAACCTGGCCAGAGAATCACAATTTTTTATGTTCAATTGCAGGCACTCATATGCAAGACTTGACTCGGTTTAAATCAAGTCAAATTTTAAAATAAAAAATGATGTAAGTTGAGTTAAAGTCGAGTCATGATTCAACTTGGGTTGACTCACAAGCCAATTACTATAAAATTTATTTGCAATATTTTAAGAATGGAAAGACAAAAAAAAAAATTCATTGCAATGCAAACATATGATCAAATAAATTTGAATTAAATCAAAAATTGTTTCTTCTGTTCTCTTTGGTTTATATTATTCTTGCACAGACCAAAACACAAACTGTCCTAGGTATGATGATAAAACTGCATCTGCATCCTGGGTAAGATGATAAACTACATCCAACAGGATCTGGAGGTTTTGAGGAGTGTGGAACCACCTCTTAATTGCTGGTGTTCCCAGGTCCACCCTGACCTGGGGTGGTAGCAAACCCAAACTGGGATCAAAACACTATGAAAGTGTAAAAATAGGTTTTAATACCAGAAATACTTTGTGAAAATTATTACCAGCAATAAATTTTTGAAAAGAAGAATATTACCAGCTATACATTTTTGAAAAAAAAATTCCCAGCAATACATTTTTAAAAAAAAAAAAAAAAGAAGAAATATTACCAGCAATAAAAATCTTGTCGGTATTAAATGACACATTGAGATTGATATGCTGTAAAACAAATCAAACCAAACCAAACCAAAACCGAAACACAAAATAACTACTGGTCAGGGGTAGAAGTTGGACCTGGACTTTTCAGACTGAACTTGAATTAAATTTTCAAGTAAATTTTGTTATGAGATTGGACTGGTCCAGTCTAATGGAGTCCAACTTCAACCTCTGGTCATGACTCACCTCGACTCATAAGTCTAATGAGTTGAGCCAACTCATTGGACATCAGTTCTCACAAGCCAGTCAAAATCACTTTGAGGGCTGGATCCAGCCTGTGGACCATAGGTTGCTGACCCCTGCCTTAAATGTCCTCTAGCTCAAGGTCCCTAATTGTTATAACCCAGCTTTTAACTGGGCAGATGGATGTACAAACAGATCTTGTAAGTTATACCATAAAATTATATATTTTTTTACAAATCTATTTGCAGGGTACAGTGATATATGATCCTGAGTTCCAGAATGCATTTGGTAACTTTAATAAAGTGAATGCAACTTTGTTAGTGACTCTGTGTAAACTATGTCAACTAATTGCCAAGAATTCAGAACTTGTTCGTAATGGAACTGCTCAATGTCTGCCAGATTGTAAGTGTTCAATTCTTCTATTGAAACAGAAATAGTCATAACATTTATAATTTATATTCATGTGTAAAAAAAAAAAAAGTGTTGGTTTAATAATTTTATTTTTTACACATGTTTAATGGAACACAGTATTTTGTGGTTAATATTATTTTGATGTTATAAGTAATTCAACTTTGAAATATTGTTTATGTTTCCAGATTTTTCCAATTCTTTGAAAAGTTCATATTTTAAGCAGCCAACATATGAAATGTAAATTTAGACTTTTAAAGATAACTTTAAAATATAAAATGATTTGATTTTAAATTAAAAGCTTAATTACTCTGAAATCAGCTACTGTGAAGTATTTCTATAATACAAATTCTTAAGATTACTGAATCAATCAATTTATGTAACATGAAGGATACTGATGATTAATCATCAGTCCCATAATTGTGTGTGGTTATAGGGTCACTACACAGATAAGCACCTGACCAGCCCCCTTGTCTTAGTTGTATGCCAATGTCTTTGTGAATGAACTTCCAGACTTCTCAATAATGTTGTCACCCTATTTTTTCCTCTGCTTGCCTCTTCTTTTTTGTCCTAAGGTAGAAACTTATAGGATGATAGTGGAATGATTGTTGGCTTTTATGACATGGCCATACTATTTCAACTTTCTCTTCTTGGTGCAATTATTAAATGCTGATAACTTCAATCAGTGTTCCTCTTTTTTTCATCCTGCAGTTATGCCAGATACCTTCAAAATATACTTATCTGCATACCCAGAGTGTCAAAATTTGCCAGGTACTATCAGAGTGTTTGGACATCAGACACCAGCTCCTGCTTTGGCTGGATTAACAAAGAACAAAAATGGTTTACAGTGGATTGCATTTGCTTTTGAATCGGTGAGGACTTTATTTAAAACTATTATTGGCAGCCTGAGAGTTAGAGGATTATGGAACCCAACTGGATAAGTGTTTATTAATGACATCTTTTTTTATATAGCATGTCCCTTCCTATTCTTTATAGCCCTGTTTGTCTCCTGACTATTCCTCCTAGTTATTGTTTTACCATCCATATACACAAGCTCATTAGGTAGGTTACTCACTCTATCCCTTCAATATGCACTCTAAGTCCTTTCTCCTAATATGTCCTAGAAATCTCAACTGTCTCTTTCTGATTCTAATTATTTTTTTGTTTCCATTTTCCTTAAAACTTACTCATTGATACATATGCTGTCCATGGTATTCTCAGCATCCTTCTGAAGGTCCACATCTCTGTTGCCTCAACTTTACTTTACATCTGTGTGGAAATTGTCCAGCATCACTGTCATATAGGATGATTGATATTATATAAGATTCAGCACTCTTATCTTTGTTTCTAATGAAATTTTCCTGTTTCTTTATACTTTGTTTAGCTTTTGAAAAACATCTTTTGCTATTCCAATGCTCCTTTGGATTTCTGTGTCACATTTTGGTTGTCAGTTATAACCCTTCCAAGATAATTAAATGCCTGTCCTCAATTTATTTTGACATCTCTATTTTGTAGCTCACTTCTTGGGTAAAATGACAATATATTTTGTCTTCTGATTAATAACATAAGATTTTCATATATATTTGAGCACCTGAGTGGCCTATTTGGACAAGGTCATGCCTAGAGCAAAATAAACAGACTTGTACCAGAATAACAATGCAGATTCTAGACAATGAACTTCAATTGTCAGCACAAAGTGTTTCATGCCAGTCAAACTGGTTTTGTTTCCTTTGATTATTTGTCAATATACAATTATTCTCAAAATTTTATACCCAAAGTTCATAAGATAGACATTTTATTAAAAATGGTATTTTTCTTCCTTGAATTATATCTATTCAATCACGTGCATTTTTTTCAGTTGTCTTTCTTTTGATAAGATGGATCTCCCTCCAGATCTTCTTTTCACTACCTAAATAGGTGATCAACAGAGAAGACTCAGCAGAATGATAAATAAAAAAGATGATTTAAAAACAATGGTACAGTGAACCTTGTTCTTAAAATCCATGCTACAATAATTAACAAGATAGAAAAATATACAAGTGCTTTTAGGATCCCCTCTTTCAGGGAACCAGACTAATTTTTTTCACCATCATCCTGGAACCATCTCAAAATCAAATAATTTTTTTAACTTTGTTATCCTTTATAGTTATTAATAGCATAATAAAAACGCCATTAAAATATTTAAGAAATAGAATAAAAATAATTAGAAAAGATAAAATATTAGAGATTTAAAAATGAATAAATAGTTAAATTTTACAGTAATTTTTATTAAAATCACTATATTAGTTTTATTTAAACATTTTGGTTAAATCACATTGAATAATTTTATACAGAAATGTTCTTATTAATTTTCATACTTAGACTTTTTAACTTTTATCCTATTTTAAGAATTGTGTGTTATGCATTCATTTTCTATATAAAGAATAATAGCATATTCAAATTATTCACAATCAAAAGTTTACAAATTTTTATAAAAAAATTAATTTACAATTACCTGCATTGCATTTAAATTCTCCCTTATTTTTTCAATTCATTTTATGATAAGCAAAAAATATAACACATAAATATTTTTGTTAATGGTTCATTCAACTCTCTGAACCAAAACTAGACAGAAAAATAATATCATTTTTTTGCTTTGTTTATTAAAGCAAAATTAGTTCTTACAATTAGATCTTAATGTTTTTTTTTGCATTTAGAGAAAAATAATACGAATATCTAAATTCATTTTATTTTTTTATTCAGGTTTCATTCACCAGTTTAAAAAGAAGAGCTTAAGTTTTGTTTATTTTTTTTTTATATCATGTTTGTGTGTATATGTGCTCCATTTATTAAAAGAAATTAGTTGCTTTTAGAATAAATACAATTTTAATTACAAAATTTTGTATCATCACGAAAAACCTAACTAGTCTTGTTAAATTAATATTCAATCACTCCAGGGATGACATTCATTTTGAGTCCTGTTTTCTTGGTGAAGTCAAAAAAAGGCAACATATACAAATCAATCTTATTATAATAACCAGTGACAAAAGAAGTGGAATGAGACAAAAAAAAGGTTTATATTATAATTAATCAGTGAATTAAAATCTATTCATAGATTTGAGATAATTGATGAGCCAGATTTAGTAATGTAATAAAGTAGCAGGAAACAGTTATTAAAATTTAACTGATTGAAAACTAATGAAGTCACTAATTAGATTTCTAAAATCATTCTTTTTGCCCATATTTGTTTTATCTTGAAAGTTACATAATGGAAGTACATACAATAAAATGATATTACAAAATACAAGTCAACCAAAAAAATCACACAAATCTGTTGAAGTCATTTCTCTTAAGTTGCTTAATTGGTCAAAAGTTTTACAGTGGTGTTTCTATATTATAGCAATAGTATGAGCAAAAAAAAAAAAAAATTTTCATATCGCAATATAGATCATTATTCATATTTCACTATTATTGTTTTTCTTGTCAGACAACATCAAAAAGTGAATCCTACTTTACAGCCTACAATCAATATGCCAAATGGGAGAATTTCTTGGACGAATTGAAAGAAACGGTTCTTAGAGATGCTCCTCCTTTCCAAAGTATTTTACAAGTTTCAAGGTTTTGGAGAAAGGTTAGAATTTTTTCTCTATAAAAGATGAAGAAAAAACTTCAAATCAATCATGTTTATTATTATTAACTATAATTATTATTATTACGAGCTTTTATAGTGAATATAAAAAGCTCAAGGTTACTAGCTGTTAGCTTGAAACATTATACTTTCAATACATTTAAACTATATGCAAAAAGCTGAATTAATATTTGAAGTTTCTGTCCTTAAAAGATAAGGTATTCCAAAGTCTTATAATAGCACTCATTTATGTTTTCTTTAAAATCTTTATGTAATTCGAACAACAGTGTAAAATATTCTTACAATAAATTAAGAGCTAAAATAACTCTTTAGATAAAAAGTATCTAGTTATCTAAATGTACTATACAATATAAAACTAGGTAAGAATATAGAAAATTTGGCAAAGTTTAATTTTTGTGCCTGCAAAAATATGGTGTGTCAAGTTTTTCCCTTGACATCACTGTTATTTTAACTACTTTCATTCCTCAGCAATGTTTATTGTTTTAAAAAGTGATAATTAGAATTGTAATAAGAGCCAAAACATGTGAAAGTGAATTTATACATTTTCTTGGTTCTTGAGAATTTACAGCAAAAATGTTAAACACTATTTATTTATTAGATTGTTTATTTACAAGAATAATTTTATATTTACAATGTTCTAAAAATGCCAATCAACTAATACAATGTAATATTTATCCTTTATCATTTTATAAACAAATAAATATGAAAACAATTCTTTTTTTTTTTTTTTAATTTATAAAACGTTAAATTATGAAAATGTGTGAACCAACTATAATGGAATCCCTATTATTTACCAATTTTATAAAAAATTCCTTTAATCATACTCTGGTGTTTGGCCATTATTTCTGACAAGTAAATTAGTTTTATTTCCAATGAAAGAACAACTGAAAAACCACAGCCTATTCAAGTCTTGTTAGGTACACAACAAACCATGAGATGCTTACAGTCTTAGATGAAGGTGGTGATGAGGGAACAACTAAGAGCATCACAAGCAAAGATATATCTCCCACACCACTGTCCCAAATCACACAGTGTCATGTACCTGTTTATGTATGGTACAGTAATATCAGGATTAAGATCCTGAGGAATTCACATTTACTTATATATGGTCCCATGACGATAGGAGTTCACTACAGTTAACTGACCATTTATAAATCTTTGCTGTTGTTATACCCTCCTCTGTTAATCCAGATAACTTTGAACACTTTATTTAATCTATGAGGGTTGATTGTTCTTGTTTTGCAGCCTATCTCCAGGGATATCTTGTCTTGTAGGTAATGCTCAATTTATATATATATATATATTCAAACATATATTGTTAAATATAACAGACAGTGAATGCCTATTACGTTTGATTATGAGCAATTCTAAGCATTGTATAGTGGTTTTAGTTTTGGGAGAAAATAAAGACAAAAATTGTCCAACATTTGGAATTTTTTTTTCTTTTTTTATTATGCTGGTCCTCATTCTAATCTTTCAGCTCACATGGCCCAACATCAGTGGTTATATGAACATTACAGCAGAAATGTTGACCATCAAAGATGACATCTTGTTATATTGCTATGTGACAATAGCAATCTTTTATGTAAACAACAAATAAAAATTTGTATAAATTTTCCATCAATTTGGAAGAAATTTAAGATTTTCTTGTACCTGTCTATAAGTCATTGAAAGCTGAAGGAAAAATGCAGCTGTTTTATTGTATATATACAATGCCTTTGATTCAGGTGCATCACACTAGTTTTCAGTAGTTTTGGGCACTTTGATATGGTGTCATGGTTAGCAAACTTATCTTACGAGATCAATTATGAATGAAAAGTGAGTTCAATCCACACTGGATGTTCCATATTTTCAGCCTTGTGCCACGTCTAAACTACATTTAGAAAATCACATCAGATAGAAATTTTATGCATGCTTCCTGGTAGACATTGAAGGATGACAAGTCAGTGGAAGCATAATTAATAAACAAATTACTTTTATAATAGCTGTTCTGTTTTATAAAATACCATTAATAAAAGATTTCTACAAAAGCGTTTTTTTTCTTAAAATTTGCTGTTCAATTGCAATTAAAAATTTCTTTAATTTTTTTGTAACAAATCTTCAATTTTACCCTTTTTCCTAGATTATCAGAGTAAAATTCATCTGTTCTTATTTTTCATTTCTTGAAAAGCTTGAAGTTTGTTATTATCTAAGATTCTAGTTCATGTTCTAAAATTATGAAAAAAATGTTTTTGTTCATAAGCTCTTCAAATATCTTATAATTAATTATATAAAACAAAAAATGTCAAAAAATTAGTTTAACATTTATTTCAATAGGCATGATAATGTTTTTATCTATTCTTTCTGTGAGTAAAATGAGAAATCAAAAAGTAGAAATTTTCATTCTCATATAAGTCTAAACATTGCCTCAGAGCAGGATTGTTTCAATTTTTTAAAAATATGGTAGTTTCTTCTGTGACCTTAATGTTTCAAGATGAATTTACAAATGAAAATTATTAAAATCCAACAATTAGTAAATTTGTAAAGAATTTTTTGTTAGAAGCTTCAAAATATGGTAATGTCATGCTAAGCAACATATTACTGCTTTTTTTTTTAAATTATCATAATTCCAATTAAAAATGTTAATTTTTTTTATAAAATATAGACCTATATTTTTTCCTGCATTCCATGTTCATAGCTGATATATAACTCATATTAGAGAGATCAAGAAAAGTAATATTCATGTTGATGTTAAAAAAGAAAGGTGTTAACAAGATTAATGAATGATTTCAGTTGATTATTTCATGAATACAAGATTATATTTTTTTAGTAGTTGAAGTTAACTGATTAATAATATTAATGTAAAAACTTGCAATTTTGACAGTTTAAATTCTAACAAATGTCTCAAAAATTAGAATTACATAAAAATACAAATTCAGAACATGACCAACTTTCTTTGCTGTGATTTCTGATTGAAAATTTACTGATTGTCTTTTGGCTATGAATAAATTAGATTTTGCATTTGTTTTTTTTTCTCTTTCTCCAGGTCCTACAAGAAGTGATATTGGTCAGCAGTGCTATCTACAGCCTTGCATTATCCATGGTTATTTGTATTATAGCTACAGCCATCTTCACAGGCCATATTACTTTTCTCTTTATTGTCTGTGTTACAATTGTTGGTAAGAAATTTAGCATTCATGTTTTTATGAATAATCCAGTTTCTTCCAATCTTTGGACTGAAGATTTTTATGACAATACATTTTCATATGTAATGAGTTAATAAATTATTTGCTAAAAAACTATTTTAAAGTGATAAGTGACTTTAAATAGTTTTTTGCCAAATTATTTATTAACTCATTACATAGGAAAATGGATGTGTGAAAAGTGCAAATTCTACCCTCATCTCTTACATTCACTTTTGCATAACTACCCATTGGAAAGGCAGGAATTTGTGTCTAATCCAACTATGGAATAAATAGCAGGGTAGACTGAACTCTCTAGACTTGTGTAGTAATTAGTCTAAGAAAAGGAAACCTCTGAACTCCAAACCAAAGAGAAGGCAATGAAATGATACTTCACTATCTTTCCTAAGAAGTCATAGCAGTTTACAGATAAGCGAGAGGAATCTGTAGAGAGCTATAACCACCTACACCCTGAAGGGATATGGGTGTGTATGTGTGTGTGCACGAATGTATATATGAAAATATTTAGTGCAAATCAATACTTTCCTCCTCTTTTTAGAGAGGAGTCCACAAAGCTTCATCTTGTTTTGTCACTATGTAAAACTGTTCCTTCTACATGAATGTCACCTAAACAAAGTGATGCATAAGAATAAATATGCTAAACATTTTCTTTCTTTCTTGATATCAGTAACAACTGGTTTTATTCAGTAAAAACAAAAGTATTGCCAAAATGTTGCTGTTATTGTTTTTACTGAGTGATACCTAAGTGCAGTCAAATAGGACATACCATTTGATGGAGAGTTAAATTAAAAGAATCTCACTGTAACACACAGAATTTAAATTTCAATTCACAATCTTTTAAAAGTGTGCCTTTTGTTATGTCAATGTCAAATGTTTTTCTGTATCTTGTGTATTTTTCTTAATTCTAATCTATTTACTAAAAAGAATGACTTTTTTTTCTTTTACTATAACAATCTTATGAATTTTTCCAAGGATTTTAAAATGTTATCAACATAAAACTGTTTTGCAGGCAATCTTCAATTTAATGAAGGGATCTCCACGAAAAATGCAATAGCTAAAGTTTAAAGTGAATTCTTAAAAATGAAAAGTCTTTTTTGAGGCTTTTATTTTAATTTCACACAAATAAATTAAATTTAATATTTTCCTTAATTTTATACTAAGAAGGCTCTAAAAGGGCTTAGGACTATTCACTTTGTTTTTTTTATAACAAGTGTTCTTTCAAGGAGGCTCCTTGTCTTGAATATCTGTTGGGACTTAAGCTCACCCCAAATCTCAAGTAGAACTTTTATATACAATCCATCAGTAAAGATGCTGGAAAAACAGTCAGTTCCTTGTACCATTCCAGTAAGTATCTGACTCCTTCTGCTATGCTCTACCTGTACAAGAGTAAGATCAAACTGAAAATGGAGTACTACTGCCATAGCTGTGCTGGAGCGGCTCTGTTTTCACTTGACCATATAGTAACAACCATTAGATAACTTGTGGTTGGCAGTTTTTATTATGATGCTGACTAGGAGTTATCTTGTGCTTGGCATTTTCTGATACATTTTCATCTGCGGGCTCCAATGACTTTATTTGCAGTAATATGTTTAGTTTGCAAAACAATGTGAAGACTTCAGTTGAAACTAAATTAACTCATAAAATTTCTTTATTTCCTAAGTTGGCTATTATAAAATTAGCATTTGAAGTCAGATTTCGTATTTGACAGTCCACGTATTAATATAAACTAGGATTCTGCCAAAAGAAGGCTCTCTTTTCAGATTTACTTAAGTCTTTACAAGTCATGATTTTCTTTAAGTACCAATAAATCCAATCATGTCAACAATTTACAAGCATTTTTGTGTCAGGATAATGCAATAACATTTACACTAAAAATATCACTTATTTTCATTTATTTTTCAGGTATCATCTGTTTTGTTGTGGGTGTGTTCTGTATATTTGGCTGGGAAATAGGCTCCATTGAGGCAGTGTCATTGTCAATTTTAGTTGGCTCATCTGTTGACTACTGTGTTCATCTTGTGGAAGGGTATCTCATCAGTGGAAAAAAACTCAAGATAATTCAGGTAAAATAACATTGTCAAGCTTGTAGCTTTGTCTTACACCTTCAACAAATTATTAGAAATTTTACATTTAATATTGATTCCTACAATTTTTTTTAAATGCTATATCTGTTCAGGATGTAGATAACCATGACATTCCACAGATTCCTTTTCTTTATTTGTGAATTACCATAACTTCTTGGGAAATACATACCCTACCATTTTTGTTTTTAAATAGTGAAATTAATGACTACCAGCCTAGAGATAAGCTTATATAAAAATGTGCCTCTCAACACAAATCAAACCTGTATTCCCTTTTTAATCTGGGGAATGACTTTCAAGCCAATCATGCTTTACCATTAAGCTAAAAGAACACATTACAACATAGCAAGGCTCAATTTAAGAGATGCACATTTCTTATTGGGACCTTTTGAAAGTCTATATCTACTAACTTTATTTTTGTACCTGAAATGTAAACAAAGTAATTTTTAAGCAATTAATGAATTTTCTTTTTAATCTTTTTTTATTATTATAAACATTATATTTAGTGGGTACATGTGTTTGAGTAGATATTCCTAGATTTTTAAAACACTTGATCTCTGGGCTGGTAGACATTAATTTCACTGTTTGAAAATGAAAAAAAAACAAACAAAAAAACAAAACTTTCTACTAAAACACAAGTAACCACTAAATATAATATTTTATAATCATAAGCAATACTTATAAGTATAATTCATATATATGATGTAGATATACGAGTCATGTATTTAGGTGTGTGAATATATGTTTCTTTTTAACTTTGTTGAAACACTGTTCAATCTGGAAAATATTCCTAAACGATAATGATGGTAATTGATTTTAAGTAAAATAATTTGTTATGAAAATATTTTTTTTTCTATTTGACTGAGAAATTTTTATCCTGTATCTTTGATTTTACAGAGTCCCTCAGAAACTCGTCAATGGCGTACCAGTGCTGCCATCACTCATATTGGTGTGTCTATTATTAGTAGTGCTATCACAACAATAACTGCAGCTATACCACTCACATATAGCACTATCCTCCCTTTCAGCAAGTTTGGCTGGATCATTGCCATCAACACAAGTGTAGCCATCTTGTTCACATTGACTGTTTGTCCCGCACTTCTCAGCACTATAGCACCAGCTCAATTCCATAAAACTTGGTGTTCCATCTTGAGGGCTGTGTTGATTACGGTCACATTTGTAGTAGTTTTTGTGGTTATTTTGTTTGGTGTTTCATTTGCTGGCATATTTATACCCGGACCTGATGGCGAAGCTCTTTTTCCTCAATGACCATTGATTATTCCTGTGGAATTTATTTCTACTTATTATTCAGTCATTTTATCTCTCTTCAGCAGTACTCTTCTCTTTTGTACCTTAAATTATAAACTGTGTTCCTGATAACTAATTTTCTCAAGCCATCTCAGACTATCTGTAAAATGTGAATTCTGATTTTAATGAAGATTCCAAATTATAAAATTGAAATATGCAAAATGATTTCAACTTATGACGTATCAAGAATATAGATTGTGTTGATAATGAAGATTACTATATAAAACAAATACTTTATGAAATTAAAAAACTAAAAAAACAAATAGGAATAACTATACTATTATATTTGTTAAAAATATGATGAACTACCCTTGAATAAAATCTCACATCACTAATTTATTGAAAATATTTCTAATTAAAACAACTGAGCTGAAATTTACATAGTATATATAAGTATATCCTAAAAATGTTACCGGTACCAATAGATTGTGTAAAAATATTGACTTGCATAACAAAACCTAACAGTGCAGTTAACTGTCATTACAAATTTAACTTTCAAAGGAAAATAAAAAATAAAAATGCATATCTTTAAAAGCAAAGAATATTACTTTTTTTTTAATGGATTACCCAGTTATTTTATGAATTTCTTTTTAATTTTTTTTAGATTAAATTGTGTTAATTCATTTTGAAAATCATGTTATGAATGGCTCATCTCACTTTTGTTAGATATAAATATATTTATCCACATTTGCTTGGTGGCAGTGCCTTTTCTATGTACATTGTCAACCAATTGGTATTTTAGTGTATATATATATATATATATATATATATATATATATGGCATGGCTAAGCGTTGCCAGCTTGATTCAAAAATCGTACGACTTATACAGCAATCGCTATCACTTGACTTAAAATATTTTTGCCCTTCCTTGCCTTTAAAGGAGTGCCCTTTGCCGTGCTGGTGTTGCTACATGCCTTACTTCTTGCCTAGCTTACAGTGCAAATTTTTTCTAAGCTCTATACTAAACATTAAATCTGTTATGAAAAAAGAACCAAACAAAATGAACACAAAACGATCAGCTTTAAAAAAGGACTTGTAACTGGAAAAACCGAATGAAAAAAGAATGTTAACAACAAATACTTTTTCACACCGAACCCAGTTCTGCGAAATCAGAATCAATGTTGAGTTTAAGCAAGCGAATGAGCCAATTGGAGTAAAGTGCCATGCAGATTTAAATTTTTCCCACTTGTGACGAATGTAGCTATCGATTTTTTTTGCATGCTGGCATGCTAGTTAACATTTGTGTCAGTCAGCTGTTGGCTCTCGCGCTGACCAATAGAATCTTCCTGCCTATTTGTGGCAGCCAGCTATAGGCTCTCACTCTGGCCAGTACAAAATGGCCGCAAACTAGATGAAAAGTGCCGTAGAAGCATGAAACAATCGATTATTTCCACTATCAATGGGAGTTGGGAAATGCAAAGTCGGTCTTGACCTTCCCGCTAACTTGGAGCATGTGCATGTAAATTTTGGTGCAAATACGTCAAAAATTGCGGCCATACATTCGTTACATACACACACATCCTGCCTTTTATAGATAGAGATATATATATATGAGAGTTTCAAAGGCAAGCTGTTTTGAATGAAACACCCCAATTTATAATGGAAGTCAAAAATGAATTTAGTGGCATACATTACTTGTCAGACAGTGATTTGGAAAACTTCAATGAGATTTTAGCAGACTCCATTAAATATTGGATCTTCATTTTTTAGTCTTTGTCTCAACGTTCAGCAGTAGTACAAACTGAGCATTAAAAGCTTGAACAAGCCTCCCTATGTTTTTGATATAGTGGTGATCACTATGTGAAAACACAAGTTACAAATGAGATAAATCCCTTAGATTCTTTCATCCTATCTCTTGATTATGAAATTTTATATCATATTTTTGAAGAAAGAAAGAAAGAAATATGAAAGTCAAATTAATGCTATTAAATGGAAACACATAGCAATGTTTTTGCCTTTAAAATTTTGTAAAGTATAATTGCAAATGCTTCAAGAAGATAGGCATTGATCAAGAGACACATTGCTTGAAATAGCAATTTTTAACAATTATGCTTCTTATATAGTGAATTTTGATGAAAACAGTTTAGCAATTCATCTGAACATCATTATTGAAAGATGCCTACAATTTTGCAAAGTGTCATTATCATTCTAAAATTCACTTGGAAAACTAAACCCATCCTTTGTGTTGCTGATTACATTTTGACCAATTCATTCTGTTGACTTCAGGTGTATAATTCATAAGGAATAGATTTTTCTGAAACACAAATGAATATGGTAATGACATTAGCAATGAGATTTTAAAAAATTCTTGGAATAATATCCAACGTCCATTAACTTACGAAAAATGAACCGGCAAAAATTTGGACACGACGACTTAGGATATGAAAACCAATCACAGATTTATTTACCAAATGTTTTTGTTATATACAAAATGATATGTAAACTGAAATTCTTATAAAATTTCTATATGAATGACTGAGATCTGGCAAAAATATTAGTAGACTATTTTTAACCTACTTCCCCAAAATGGATTTTTCTTTAAAAGTGTTCCACTTATATTTCTTTTGAAATGAATTTTAACTTTTTCAGGATTAGAAATACAAAAAGAAAAATAAGACTTAAATTCTGTCCAATAACAGTTTTATGTAAGTATAATAAAGTAATAAAAAAAACCCCAAAAACAGTTTTTCCTCTAAGAATCAAGTTATGAGGTATTGCTAATAATTATTTCAATGACGAAACATCAAAATACTGATTTGTGGAAATGTGTTGAGCCAATAACTTTTCAGTTCACTTTTGCATTTCTCCAATTATATTTTTCTCTATTTTGTTTGTTAAAAATATATAGATTAAATATTTAATGTTAACATTTGCAAACTGATTATGAATGCCTATTTTATAAGGACTAGGTAATATGAAAAAATAAATGTGTCATTAAGGCAATGAAGACTAAATCATACCCAGAATTGCTAGTGTAGGCAGTGGTATATGCAAAACCATAAGTGTTACACTTAATGAAATAAAACTGAAGTATGTTAAAAAAAAAAAAAAAAAAAAAAAAAGGGGAGATTTTAGGTATTCTAGGATATATAGTATCCATTTTGTTATTATCTCCACTCACAACTCATCTCTGGCTTGCTGTGGATATTTTCTTATCTTCATGTCCTTAGAGTCATCTGGTGTATGCTTACACCCTGACAACTCATTTGTAGAAATGCCAGCCAATGTCTGGAGCATGTAGTTTTTTATGTCAAATGAATATAATTCAGGCCATGAAAGGTTGCCATCTCCATCTGCATCAGCATCATTAAAAAGCTTAAAAATAAAAAATAATATTGACAGCATCATCTGGAAGAAATTTGCTATAAAGATCATGAATTAATATTAAATTTTGGTGGTATTTATTTTATTACATTAAAACAACATTTAATAGAAATGTTGTGTGCTTTCTAAAAGCTTGAAAATAGTGTTACAATCTTTAACAAATTTATCAGCTTAAAATGTTATAAGTGATATTTTAATTTTTACTATTTTTGTATAATTTAAATAAGTACACTAAGTTACTGAGTGAAGGAATGAAAATAGTTACATACATCATATTGAACCTCTTTGTCTAACTGAGAAATCTCCAAGAGAAATTCCTTTCGGCTAACGTTTTCTTTTCCCAACCACTTAGCAAGTAGTCTAGACCTGAAAACAAACAACAAAGGAAAAAATATAAAAAAGAAATGAAGCATTGACTTAAAGCAATTGATGAAAAAATATTTTTAATGAAGTCAAAAAGTTATGTTCTATACGAGTGGGGGGGAAAAAAAAAAGTTTCATTTTTTGTATTTTTACAAAGTAATTGTGTATTTGATATTACAAGTTGAACTTCTGAATCCTATATGTAAATATGATCTGAAGTTAAACATCTACCTGTCCTGTTTCCTAGTAAAGAAATTATGAAGAGACAGAATTAAAATTAGTTTTTCTTATTAAGGTTCTTCATTCTAATAGTATTATTAATATTTCAGTTTTTATAAAATTTCTGGTAATTACATTAATTAATTTCTTTATAAAATTTCTGGTAATTACATTAGCGTGAAAAATCTATCCACACATATATGCATGAGGTCTAAGTCCTCTAATTGAGCTCTCATAATAATTGGATCATTGACAAAATTTGTCAAGGTGAAAAATATTCAAAAATATCCATACAAGGTAAAAGGATTTGTTTGATTATTAATTGTGTGTGTGTGTGTGTGTGGAGTGAGAGAGAGAGAGAAAAAAAAAAAAACTGAAGTTCTATGAATATATAATTTTAGCTATTTTGTTACCTATCATGTTCATTGTTTGGTTTCACCTGTAATTCTTTTAATGTAAGAATTCTGTTCCTGTTTTCTCTTGTACAATCTGATTCATTGAACCACCAAAGGTGACTAAACCAGAAATTGATTGCAAGACTTCTTTCATCACTTGAACGGAACTGATGATACCACCTGTAAAACAGACATGAGATTCAGTTTAGTACATGGTTATATTTGAAATATTCTTTAAAGAAGCCTGCAACACTTGTACAAATTTAACTCTGAAAGTCATTTTATTCTACTTCTAAAGACAATGGATTATATTATTATCATAGAGTTTGGTCAGTCTTTATATTACAAACTAAACCAGCAGTTGAAACATTAGATTTTATAAAAATTCACTATTTAAGACATTAGCATATCAAGTATGGTGGGAAAATTTCTTTTCAGATTAGAAAGGTGGATCAAAACTTTAGCATTTTTTACAAAACTGCTATCAGTAAACATTTGATGAAAAATGTGTCTTAAACCATTAAAAACAAATAATGATCTAATGGAAGATGGAGGAACAAACCAATAGTTTTCCCTTCACAAATCTCAGATAAATTAAAACTAATATTTACACATTTTTGTAGTCTGTTGCATCAATCACCGAAGATGGTGTTTATAAATCTGTCAATTTTTAAATATATCAATTCAAAAAACACACTGCATAATAATCTTTCAGTTTTGTAAATTTCAATAAAAATCTTAAATATTTGGTGTTGAAATAACATTAACTGTTGCAAAATTAGGTTACTATTCTACAACTACTACCACTTGTGATATTTTCCTCCTACAACTATCAGAGTGAAGAGCATAGTCTTCTAAACATTTTTGACCATACCACTGAACTTTGAAGAATTTTGGGACCTGGCAGTCAGGACTGAAACATAATGTCAATATTTCTTTATTTAGTTTTAACCAATAAATTTTACTGAATTTTATTTTAATAATCAATAAATTTTGATATTTCTTATGTTGAACAAAATGAAATGTAAATGCATTGCAAAATTAGGTCAAAACAAAACTTTTGACTTGCAATGAATGAACCGTTCTGATTTGATTTTTTGCTGATAAATTTATTGAACAAAAACTGTAGTTAACATGATAATGTTTTTCAAGTGGACTTCATTAAAAAAACAAAACAAAAAAAAAACAGACAGAAAACATTTAATGATTATTGTGATGTGCATTCATTTTTATAAATGAGTTCTTCCAGATTCAGCTTTATGCTGACATTGCAATGTCTATTGAGAGATGCTGTGCTAAGATGCCCTAAAGAATAAAACAAATAAACATTGTGTAACCTTTATTGCATTAAATCAACCAAGAATCAATAAACAATAATGGTACTGATCAGCACCAAAGCCAATAAGAAATGTTCCTTCCGATTTCTCTCATCTATAATATATAATACCAGGCTTCAAGTTTTTTCCCTTCTGCTATCAGGAAAGGCAATTCATAGTCAACATAGAATACTATGTAGACAGGGAAGCTGATGATCCAGATGGATCCTTGCTTTAGTCCTGATCATCACAAATGCTTAAAATTCTTGTTCACAAAGAATATACTAGTTGGAAAAAAGATGAACCTTTTTGAGTTTCACAAGTCAGAAAAATCTTATTTTTAAGTCAAGCCCAGCATTCAGAATACAAAAAGACTTAAAATATTATTTCTGCACTTAATTGGTGAGGGTGGAGGATTGGCCGTTGATCCCCCCCCAACCAGGTCGATGCTTGGACATAAGGTAAGCCGTATATTCAGTCACCATCTTAAGAAGGCAGACAACCACTTGCTGGCCATGGGAGTATAGTTTCGCTCTAGCAGAAACCCATTTACATTTTTTTTTTTTTGTTCTTTTCGTTTTTTTAAATTTTTCTATTTTTTCCCTCCCCCCCACTCAAAGGCATTTTGTCCCAATGCTTCTCCTTATTTGATAGTTTAGTAAGAAATCCTGGTTCGAAAGGAAAAATGGAAAATTAAATGTCTTTGCGATAATAAATCCGGGTAACCTTATTTTCAATTTCTTTTTAGAATAGACAATGGGACTTATACTAAGTTAAAACTTAATGTGATAGGGTATAGCCAAGTGTGATCCAGGACTCCTTACCTGTTATCTCCCCCCCCGAATCCTTCCCTCTGTTTTTGTCGTTGTTTCTTTTGTGTTATCCGTAATAGGAGTAGGTACTCTCTTCTACCGCCCGTCAACACTCCTCCCCTTCTATTGGACATGGTGAGGCTTACACCTTGTTTCTTGTCTAGGAAGGGGTTCCCGGTACTGTTTCTCTCTCTGGCCTCTGTATTAGTGCAGCTCTGTTTCTCCTGTGATGTGTGCAGTCTGTGGCATCACCTCTTCATTCTGAGGGTACACGGCTGACAGTTCTCTGGTTGCTGTTTCCGACTGGTAGTTAGGAGCCCTAACTCTTCTGCGTGGCGTCTCGAAAGGTCCGCTCTGATCAACAGTTGTATAATACCGGGGTTTTTGTAGTGCCATGTTGCGCATGGAAAGGTGTCACACATAATGATGCAGATTTTGCCAACTCCTCTCTGCCCGCGTCACAGTCGAAACTGTCTGTTTCTTTTACTTCAGGCCTTCTCATCTTACAAACAAAATTCAACATGAGTAACAAAAAACCGAAAAGATTAACCCTAAACCAGCCTCTCAAAAACCACCTAAACCCCTCAACATTTCGTTTCTCCAACATCCGGGGCATTAGGACAAACTTCTGCAGTCTGGAATCTTTCCTCACTGCAAACGGCTCGGATATACTGGCTCTCTGTGAGACAAACCTTGTCTCATCTATCCTCTCTTCTGATCTCTCGATCCCCGGCTATCTTCCTCTCCTCAGAAAAGACTCTCTAACCCACATGCACGGTCTTGGTGTCTACGTCAAGGAACATCTTCCTCTGGCCAGAGAGTCCTCTCTCGAATCGCCTGACCAGTCATACATGTGTCTCCGACTCTCTCTCCTCAATGCGGTAAGCTATCTCTTCTTCCTTTACCGCTCTCCATCCTCTCAAGACTGTGAGATACTCAATAGCATTTCTGACAGCATAGACAAAGCTCTTTCCCTCCACCCGTTTGCTCACATTTTTGTGTTTGGTGACTTTAACGCCCATCACACCTTGTAGCTTAAGAATGCTACTACTGACCACACAGGCATTGAAACGCTTAATTTTTCAATCTCCCATTCCCTCACACAGATAGTTAACTTCCCCACTTGTTTTGCCTTCAACCGGGAAGGTAAAGCCTCTCTACTCGACCTGTGCTTTACCTCCATCCCCGAATCCTGCAGCGCCTCGCAACTCTGCCCTTTTGGTAACTGATCATGCAGTAGTATTGGTTAACATCTCCTTTAACTTCACCCCCTATAAAGAACTTCCTACCACTAGAACTTCATTCTACTATCAACAAGCTGACTGGGACTCATTCCGTGATTTCCTCCGCGATGTCCACTGGGATGGAGTCTTTAAGCTCCCCGTCCAAGAATGTGCTTCTGAGGTCTCTTCCTGGGCTAAAGCTGGAATCGACGCTTTCATCCCATCAAGGAAATATAGGGTCAAGTCGCGCTCCTCCCCCTGGTTCTCCGCTGCTTGCTCAGCCGCCATCGCCCCTAATTTAGATCCCAACAAAGCTAGTGGTGGAGATGGGATACCAGCCATTGTCCTGAAGAAATGCACGCCTGAACTAGCGCCCGCACTTTCGAAACTATGCAACTACTGCCTCAAGGAATCTTGTTTTCCTGACTGCTGGAAGTCCTCTTCGATCGTTCCTGTCTTCAAGAACTCCGGCAACCCCTCTGACCCTTCTAACTACCGTCCTATCAGTCTCCTTCCCCTCTTCGGCAAAGTCTACGAAGCTCTAATCAATACTGGGGTGGTTAACCACCTCACATCCCATAATCTGCTCTCAGACAAGCAATATGGTTTCCGCTTTGCCCGATCTACAGCCAATGTGCTTACAGCCATCACTGAAACAGTCTACCAAGCTCTCCAAAATAACGGGGAAGCCCGAGCCGTGGCACTAGACATCTCCAAAGCATTTGATAGGGTTTGGCATGCCGGCCTTCTTCGCATGACTCCAGGGTTATGGCATTTTGGGTTGATTATATAACCTAATACAATCATTCCTGCCAAACCGTGAACTGAAGGTCGTTCTCAACAGATTCTCCTCCAGTTCCTATCCCACGAACGCAGGTGTTCCTCAAGGCTCCATCCTAGGCCCCACTCTATTCCTTATCTACATAAATGACCTTCCTGACGCCATAACTTCTGAAGTTGGCATCTACGCGGATGACACCACAATTTATTCCTGCCTCAAAAACAAATCTAGTCTCGCTGACAAAACTCATCTGGCCATGTGTCTCGAAAAAGACCTCCAATCGATTGTGAACTGGGGCATGAATTGGCTGGTCAACTTCAACACTTCTAAATCAAAACTGCTCTCTATTAATCACCACAGAGAGCCTTCCCTTCCCTCCATTAGAATGTCTGACGCTCAACTTCTCGAGAGCAACTCTCTGCGGCTTCTCGGTCTCACATTGACTGCTGACTGAGATGGAATAAATACATCGAGTCAATTGCCTCGTCCACTGCAAGGAAAGTTGGCTCCCTGAGCCGCGCTAGGAAGTTTTTCTCCCAGGAGTCGATCCTCCAGATCTACAAATCCACAAATTCGCCCTTGCATGGAGTATTGCTGCCATATATGGTCTGGTGCCCTTTCTGTTTGTCTCGGGGTTCTTGATAGGCTCCAGAGGCGGATGTGCAATGGTTGGCCCTGCCTGGCGTCTAAATCTACAGTCACTTTCTCACAGGCGCCGTTGCCTCCTTCTGTCTGTTCTACAAATACTTTCATGGAAATTGCTCCGAGGAGCTGCATTCGCTGGTTCCCAGACGTCATGAGTTCATGCGCCATATGAGGCTGGCATCCCGCTCTCACCCTTTCACTGTCGAAACTCCTAAATGTAGCCGTCTCTTCTACTCCAATAGCTTCATGTCTCGCATCTCACGCCTG